AATCGGCTCAGAGAAAGTCATTTATTTCTAGTGTATGTATAGATGATCTACAATTCTATAATCATAAAGCACTTGTTCTCACGTTGCTGCACCTGACTTAAGACTTATACTGTAGCATTAAGGGGCTACTCCATGCGAACGACCTTGAGCATTTTGCCGGCGGCACGCCGCTCGCCTCAATATATTGCTTATTTGAAATATGTACGACGCCACCACCTATTGTAGGTACGAACGTAGTATTATTTTTTCAACATCAATGAACTAATTTATGGAAATACACACAGCGTACAACGATAAATGTATTTTAATTTTTTTATTCGGTATATTAGTTGCATTATATTAGAATTATGTATTTTCATATATTATCTAATTATGAAATTTTATAATTAATTATATATTAAAAATGAAGCATTGAAAATTGTGAGTTTAAAAGATACCTATTCACTATAGGTAAATAAATAGATAGCTCGCCTTTTGTACAAATATTTGGTGCAATAAAGAATAAATAAATAAATAGGATGTATCGTAGATGTGTTTTTGATTATTGTTAATTTTTACGTGTCACGTATTGAAAAGTAATATACCTAACTACTAATACAAAAATCAACAAGAAGTATAAGGGTTCAATCTTTCAATTTCAATTGTAAAAAAACGTTACCCCCACACTAGGATTTTCTCCTGTGTCGTGGAGGCAGTTTACAAACATAAATTGCACAAGGACAAACATCCAGACCCGGAACAATTATTTGTAGGCCATACAAATACTTGTTCCGTGCGGGATTCGAACCCGCGGCCCCCAGCGCAACAACTAATTGCTAAGCCACTGCCCCACGGAGCCGTCGCCGGGTTATAGCTAAAGTGACCACACGTCCCGTTTTGAACGGGACTGTCCCTTTTCTTGGTCACCTGTCCCATTGTCCCCAAACAAAGCTCCGGGACACAAAATTGTCCCGTAACTCGTTGGATGGAAGTATTCAAAGTCAACAATCTTCAACATATTTTTTTTTAATCGAATATATTTTATGTCTACCTGGTACGAATGCTCCGGTAGAAAGAGTATTTTTTTTATTTTGAATAAATTGTGGACGTCTGAAAGAAACACTTACGGTTCCAGAGTTCTAAAGGCGATGTTGTTAACAAAGATAACAATAAAAAAACTTGAGCAGAATTTTATTTTTATTTAAAATCATCACCAACTTTATTAAAGAAAATTTAATCCACTGACAAATGTAATTAATAATTAAGAAAAATATGTTGCATTTAATAATTACCGTCTATACCGAATATAATTTTACAGTGAACACTAATTGTATAAAGTTATAGTTTTTAGAGTATAAATAAACCCATGTCCTGTTTTGAGTTAAAAAATAAATGGTCAGTTTAGTCTTTTTAGTTAAATTTAGTTTTAAAAATTTTTAGTAGTAAAAAGTAGGTATATTAGTACCTACTTAGATACTTTTTACCGAATTATAAGTATAGAACACCTTATGTACTCAATTATTTTTTGAAAAAGAAGAAAAAAGAAGCAATAAATAATATACTATATTTTAGGAAAAAAATATAACTTAGTAATACTAATTATAACTTTATAACGTAGAACATAAATGAAAAACTCATAACTGACAGGGCCGGACCCAGGATTCGAACCCGGGACCTAATGATCAGCAGTCGCACTACTACAACCACTAGACCAACGAGGCAGTACTGTACATAATAAGATATTGTGGTTGGGTGATAATATTGAATTAGCCTTTTATAGTGTAAATTATAATATTTATCGAAATTTTAATTATGGATTCGAACCTTACATGCCAATGGTGCTACATTTTTTTATTTGCATTTACTTCAAAGAAAATACACGCAAAAAGCTTCATCGCGCAGTAAAAAACACAACAAATATATGTATAACTAATACGAAAAATTATACCCAAAACAAACAAATAATACTACCTATAAATAACCTAATAAGTAATATTATTTATCGACTGATATTACGTGAGTGTATGCGGCGCTGGTCGACGCTCTAACGACACGGGCTTCGCGTCGAAGAGCTCAGGGCTCACTGACTCCAGCAAGCCCGTGAGCAGTGAATATGCCCAGATTTTAAAATAATTACTTAATAAAATCAAATTTTGGTCCTTTGAAAAAAAAATTACTATAGAAATGTTTATTAATAAATTGTCTATCCATTGGTGTAAATCGCAAAATAAAATAATACTTACTTTACGAGGAGATCCATGTTATCAATAATAATTTCACATTTATGTGGTTTCGTTGTAAGGAGATTATATTAATATTTATTCGTTTAAAAAAAAATTGGATATAGCTTTTATGGAATCAAGATTATGTAGAAATATAATGTGTTTTTTATTTGTTGATATATCTTTTAAATAAAAAGTAGATAGCTTCTAAAAACCGCACAAATAACGACTAGCGCGACATTTTGCTCAACCTGCGCCTTAAAGCAACAAGAACGCCCACAACATCAATCTTGATCCGAAAACAGAATTTTATTTTTTACTAGCTGTTCCCCGCGACTTCGTCCGCGTTGAATTTATACTTTACAGTTTTATTATTTTTCGCGTAACCCTATTTTTTTATAAAATAAAAATAGCCTAAGTTACTCCTTATAACATCAGCTATCTGCCAATGAAAGTCCCGACAAAATCGGCACAGCCGTTTCGGAGATTAGCCGGAACAAACAGACAGACATACAAACACACCATTTTTTTTAAATCGTGTTTTTGTCATAAGTATCGTATAAACTTTTACATGCATTTAGTAAAAAGCTGTTATTTTGGCATTACTAACAGACACATCAATTTGATTTATTTGTATAGATAGATAAGAAACCTCAAAACGTTTAGCACAACTTTAAAAAAAAACTAAAGTACCTAAAGCTACAATATATATAAGTACTTACGTTCTACAGTTGGGCAATGACCTCCTATTTCGAAATGGTAATGTACCAATAAATCTGCCGCGGTGCTCCATAGAACATGCATGTATTTTAATTCATTGCCGCGCACGTGGCGATTGCCCTATATATTATACCTAGTCAGGTCATAAGTATTGTCACACAGTAAAAACTTTTCTTTTAGAATGCTGGCCACAAAAAAGTTTATTGAATTCGAATTTCGAATTGTTCATGAAAATAAAACTGTATACTTTTTAGAATTTTACTCATTTTTAAATATGGAGTGGACGCTTAAAGAAGACCGTGTTGCAGTTATTGCGTTGCATCGTTGCGGTTACGCGCCAATTCAAATTTTTGACATACTGAAAATTTTGAATATAACCAAAAGATTCGTTTATCGTACCATAAAAAGATACAATGAAGACTCTAGTGTAGATGACAGGTCAAGAAGTGGTCGCCCTCGGTCTGTTAGGACTCCAGCAGTGATAAAAGCTGTGAAGGCGCGAATTCAAAGAAATCCCAAACGTAAGCAGAAACCGTTGGGCCTTCAGATGGGGTTAAGCAGAGCCACGGTGAAAAGGGTGTTAAATGAAGACTTAGGGCTTCGGGCATATCGAAGAAAAACAGGACATCGTTTGAATGCTCGTCTAATGGACCTGAGACTGAAGAGATGCCGCGCTTTGTTGAAGCGGTACGCGGGAAAAAAAAAGAAAAAAAAGAGAAGCTACAACAAAGAGCTACAACAAACAAAATGATAGGGTGTACGCACACAGTAGTGAACAAGCGAGCAAACGTATTCCGCGTGTCCAACGAGGTCATTTTCCATCCTCGCTCATGGTATGGTTGGGAGTTTCTTATTGGGGCTTAATAGAGGTACATTTTTGTGAGAAAGGTGTAAAAACGAATGCAGTTGTGTATCAAAATACAGTCCTGACGAACCTTGTGGAACCTGTTTCTCATACCATGATCAATAACAGGCACTGGGTATTCCAACAAGATTCGATGCCAGCTCATAGAGCGAAGAGCACACAAGACTAGCTGGCGGCGCGTGAAATCGAGTTCATCCGGCACGAAGACTGGCCCTCCTCCAGTCCAGATTTGAATCCGTTAGATTACAAGATATGGCAACACTTGGAGGAAAAGGCGTGCTCAAAGCCTCATCCCAATTTGGAGTCACTCAAGACATCCTTGATTAAGGCAGCAGCCGATATTGACATGGACCTCGTTCGTGCTGCGATAGACGACTGGCCGCGCAGATTGAAAGCCTGTATTCAAAATCACGGAGGTCATTTGAATAAACTTTAGTGTCATAAGAATCTATGTTTTGTTAAGTTCATTTTGGTATATAAATGGTTACATAATGAATAAACTTGTTTCAATTATTTTATATTAAACATGTGACAGAATTTATGACCTATTAATGTAATTATGAGATATTACTTGGTCTATAGTGGCGATTGGTGCCGGCGGGGAGCGAACCCACGTTACCGGCCGCATACTGAAATTATTGCGGGCGTTTAGTCCCTGAGCTGCCACGGCTTATAAATTTTTTCTACGATTGCTTATTTAAAATAGTCAATTAACGAATAAGCTAAGAAATTAAAATATGTTAGCAAGTTTTATTTACTAATTAAAACAAGTTTATACTCCACGTTCGTTCCACAGTACAAAAAATGTCTCTACTTCATAACGCCACAAAAATAATTATCTTTAAAGTGGTATGCGCGCCACCTGCCGCAAGACATTAAAGTAATCTGCTGCTGCTGATTAAAATAAAATAAAAAAAAGTGCACGTGCATGTATAATATTAAAATGCAAAAATAATAGTTATTTTTATTTATCAAAATTACACTCGATTAATTGTTCTTATTAGAATGAAATGTGAAAATTCACTATTGATTAGGACTATTGGGTAGATTCACGATTGCGCATGCCTGGCTGGCGTTCTCAAATAGACTTGAAGGGCTGTGACTTCGTTTCTAGTAGATTTTTATATTAGGACATGTTTGTTTCCGTTTTTATAAGAAAGGATTTATTATATTAATTTATTTTATACGTGAATTAATTTGCAACTTTTACTAAAATGGGGAACACTCAGGCGAATGAAAAACAATCTAAAACTGGAAAATCACCAGCAAAAGGTAAACATTTTATGCGTAATTTAAACAAAAAAGGATCAATAAAGGAGAGTAAAAAACGTGCAAGAAAAAAGAGCAACGCGAAACGAGAGACATTCGACAGAGAGTTCGATAAAACGCCAGATTCTGATAACAATGAAACGATTGAAGCATCCGATAACGATATGGCCGAGTGCGTGTTCAAAACATCGTGCCGAGGAGCGGGAGGTATGGAAACAAGCAGTGTGCAGTCGGAGGTAACGGTGTCCAGGTGCGAGGCGCGCGCGGAGCGCCGGTCACCGACCCGTGACCAGTCGCAGCCGCCTCTCAACGATTCCAACTCGGAGTCAGTATTCACAGAACCCCTCACGCCGCTCGCCGTTGAGCTCAACCAGTGTTATTACTCTGCAGAAAGCGATAGTGCGCACGACGAGCCTTTCCGCACCCTCACACCCACGCAAATAAATGCGCTTATAGATGTTTCGCCAGAAAACGACTGGCCGGTTGTAAACATGCCGCACGCAAACGCTACAACACCACAACACGATATAGAAAAAGAAATTAAAAGTGACATTTTCGATGAAAACTGTGAAACGAGTGTTAACGAAAGAACAATGGGTTCTATATTATCACGGTCGAAACAGGATAATTTGGAGCCAAATGAGTGCAGCCATGACTTCCTTGAAAACCGGCTGAAAGCATGTCCCGGACAAACTTCTTTCACGCTCTCCAAACATCGCAAGGTTGACTTACCACCAGTGACCGCGTGCGAGCGATCTCTCGCCGTGATCGATAACGGTCAGTCAATAGCAATTTACTTTTTGTTATCTAAGATATGAAACAAATCTTAAACCTTATAATATCAAAAAAACTTTATAAACGTCAAGTGATATAACAGATTTTACATAAATTAAGTTATAACTATTTAAATCAACACTTAAATCATGACTCATATAAAGTTAAGTTCAAATATATACGTCTAGTCAGTTACTGTTATTTAGAAAACAAACCGCACTCTGCTACTATCAGTTTGCTCAAAATATTTATTAACCTGCTTGTGTTTGCGATTTGCTTCTTTTCAATTTGATTAGCACTAATTCTAAAACACGTTTTTAGCATTACCTTAAAACAATAGCAACTATCATATCCTATGTACTCGTAATTGTAAAAAATCTATGAGACAAAAGCATAATCTCATAAAGAGAAGGCCAGGCTCTACTATACTGTACAAGTCAACAACTCTCTGTTTTTTCCGTTCGCTGCTAACAAGTGCTGATGGTTTGAAACTGATATTTTTTTTTATATTGGGAGAATACAAATGAAGACTTAAGGTATTTTTGTTCGCCAGATCATGCTTTCGTCTCATAGATTTTTTACAATTACATAGGGTATGATAGTTGCTATATTTTTAAGCTCACGCTGAAAACTTGTTTTAGAATTACAGGGGTTAACCTCTATTTTTCACTAACATTACCTAGATTCATTGTAATAAAAAGTTTAACTTAGAGCAACAAAATAACTTATAAAAAGTTAAAAAAAAAGTTTTTTTCGCACTATACAAAAACGTTTTATATTTTGATAACTTTAACATTACAATCGAAACCTATCTTAAAATGTTAAAGGTAGAGTTATTGTATTCAGTTAAAACAATCGCACTTGGTTAATAAGCCAAATCACTATAATACGCACCATTTCCATGGTCAAAATGAAACATTCCTACCGATTATTTAATTATTTTAGGATTTACTTCCAGTTTTATCACGTTTGAAGACATTTTTCAAACATCTTTTAACTTTTCTTTATACATGTACATGTAGCTAGCCTAAGTGAGCCTTACCTGTTTTTACATTCGGTTTTAGTTTCATATATATATTTAGGCTGCTTTTTGGAATTACGATGGATCGCCGCAAATAAAATTAAGTGAATCTACATATAAGAATGAGTAAATGGAACAAAATTAAATTGCTACAATGTATCTAATTCCAGAACAATGTGTAATTAGTCTTCTGCTTCATCAGCACGTAAAAGTCCGTTATTGAACAACTGGACATGAGCCCCTTCCGTAGAGAGGGTGCCGCGCTTAGCAGTTATTGTCGATGGCAATATTATGTAGTAGTAGTAGTTGATAGCAGTACCAGAAGTCTCACACCTTTGGAGCTGCTGGACACTGATCTTAAATTATTGATAGGTCTTCGCGCGCTCAGACGCGCAATGACTTATTAATAATCTAAGGTGATTATATACTACTTTTTGGTCCATTGTGCGCGTGTGATCATTCCCTGGTCGAGGAGATCCATTCATGATACAGCCTTAGACCAACAAACAAAGAACGATGGACCGCTGCTTGAAATGACAAGTGATACAAAAATCATCCAATGCATCCAAAATCATTTGCAGCTAACAAAACGGTTTAAGGTGCATATGCAGGATATGCGTGCGTCCAGAAGCGAATTTTATCAGGCTCTTAGAGACAGAAAAAAGACGTGTGCGGAATGCGAGTCAAGAAGTCGAGCATGGTTTACATCACTTGAAAGAGAACCAGCGTCCAGTCCATCTTTCTTTATAGGTCTGCTACAGCCAAATTACGCTGCAGCGTGCCTCTACAACGTGGCCCGTACAAATCTAATACATATTCACTATAATTAAAAAAATATTAATTAATCCCTTACAGATAAAGATCGCCGACATTCTAGCCTTAGTGAAGCGCCTGTGACAGAATCCAACGTGCTCAGAAAAGTGGCGTCACTTACACTAGATAAGCTGACGGATTCAAAAGTTGTACGACCTAAGTTTGTGCCAGAGAAGTTAGATTTCCAGCTTTATGAAAAATTTGAAGGTAAGTTATATTGCTCACTACCTTGTACATATTTTTTAAATCTCATTATGGCGACGGCGAGCACACAGTCCACCTGTTGGTTAGTGAATGCCGTAGCACACAGACAAAGTAATAAAGTATATCTCTCCTCGATTATGAAACCATATGGTATGTTTTAACTCTTGCGGACCAAGGTGGAATGCCTCGTTACCAGGAAAAAGGTACACCAGATCTCGACACTTACTTACAACCATACGGAAGAAGGAGTTTTGTAGAAAGTATTCCATACAAAATGGTGGGAAAATAGAGCATGCACTTTTAATGTAACTATTCAAACGGCATTCTAGCTTTTACCATTAACCTTTGATATTCCTTAGTCTAGTCAAAGGGGTCAAAAAAATCAACTGTGGTGTTTGGACTTGCCCAAAAAATAAAAAGCAAAAGGCAACTTCAGAGAACTAAAATGTTTAATATAATTTCCACATAATTTAGTAACATCCAAAATCGGTGCTAAGGCATAAGATCAAAGCCCCGGCTTAAAAGTTATTAAATTATGTGAGAATTATTTAATTCTTTTTAGTTTTTTAAATTCATTTTTTACATTTCTAAAGTTTAATATAAATTTTTTAAAAAAGGTGCGTTTATTTGGAAAGTAGAGCTGTCGTTCTACGATGCATAATGTACATAATATATTTTATGTCTTCTCTATACCTGTTTGTTTTTCCATTTAACTTAAAGATAATTTTGTCTCTATTGGACTACAGAGATTTAAAATAAGTGCAATGAAACACACTCTTTTAAATTTTCTTTTAATTATCTTTATTATAATTAATGTCATTAATCGGTAAAACTAGTATTAAAAATAAAATTTAATGAGGCATACCAGCAAATTGATCACAAAAAAAATAATACTCGCTTTGTAAAATCAGGTGTGGTACATAATATTCTATGTCGTCGCTGATTGTGTGAGTCGTAATTTATCATTATACAAACGGCGCCGTCTGTTTGCAAACGCTTGCTGGTTTGCGAAATGTCAAACGCAAATTGTTCAGTGTGTCATATGGCTCAGCGACACTGCTCCTCGCGTTGCTCCCTAGGTTGCTCGCGTTTGCAGCACAATGGTTAATAAAACTGTGGCAGCATGCGCCCTATTTGCTTATTTAGTATAGCTAAATATATCAATGTCATAACAAAGAAATATACGTCATCGTTCTCGCCAACGGAGATGGTGGATGGCATTCATCGCAACAGAACGACGCTTCCGTAACGAGCGGTCGATTCGAACTGCGTTTGCGCGAGTATGTGGCCAGCCACTCGCGCTCATATAGCCAGTCCTTTGACTCGCGCCCAAAAAACCGACCTAACGGGGAGCTATTATGGGCATGACTAGGCATGACTAGGCATGACGAATATTGTGGCCACACTACGTCTCTGCCTTCTTTTCTCGCTACTTCCCATATGCCACTCGACGAGTGTGTGGCAGGGGGATAATTCGATCACAGACTTGGGCAGATCGTGAACTGCCTGGATATTTAATGATACGTCGCCATTTCATGATTTGGCCGATAATTTATCCCCCACACATCATGACGACGTAATATCATGAAATACCCAAAGTAGATAAATTAAGATCTGCCCGATTTTTGCAGTATAATTTACAATCGGACTAGGTACGTTATTATATATCTATTCGGTTTCGGTTTGAAATTCATTGGAGATTATTGTCATATTTATAACAGAAGATTATGACGTTGTGATGACGTTATTTGATTTTTATTAGGTACCATTGCCCTAATCATACATTTTAGTCGTAGTAAGAGTATATTTAACGATTTACAAATTAAAGGATACACTAATTAGTGAAGGTACAATAAGTTTTTAAAATGTCCAAAAAACTTGAATAAGTAATGATGAATGCTAGTGACGCTGTAATGTCTAAAACTAATTTATAAGTATACCGTAATAATTCTATGACGTATACCATGAGCATCTTAAGCCGCGTATCCACCAAAAATGTTGACAACAGTTATGTTTCCAACTGTTTCCAACAAGCATCTCCACAGAGGGAACAAATGTTGGTATTCCTTTGATGTTGCCGCCGAAAATTGAAACAAGTTTTGTTAGTAACTGTTGTGTTGGCAACAAAACTTTGGTAGAGACGCGGCTTTACGCACGCTCGTATAAAATGAACCTTTTTTGAAGGACATGCGAATGCTTTTATCGCCGTCCAAACAAATAGATGAATGAATAACAAGATAAAAATTATATCTTTTATCAACAATTAGATAGGTAGGTAGGTAGATGTACCGCTAATTCTTATCCGTAATCATTTTTGTCTTAACAACGATACGAGTGCATAGAAGTGTGTACGTGACTATATTAGTGCTGAAGTTTAGTGCAAAGTGACAAACAGAGAACACTATTATTTGGTGGCAAATATGCAAATGTCAACAAGCCGTGTAAATTTCTGTAACTCGTCGGTCGCACATTACAATTACGTAAAACTATTGAATAATCATCATTCGACTAAGAAGGGCATTCACAATATTGTTACTTTACTGGGGTTACACTCCAATGACTATACGTATGTAGACTTTGACACTAAAGTGAGACGAATACGAAGAAAACTCTTCCGAAAATCAACATCTATCAAAAATAATCGGGCATTAGTGCAGTATTTTGAAAAAACACTTGTACTAAACATTAATCGAACTGCGAAATGGTTTCGAATTGTGATTTTCACCGTGAAAAGAAACTTTGGAGTGTTCACAATGGAGTGCGACGTAAGAACAGGTTTAATCATAGTTACAGTAATGAAAGATAGTGATTCAAGACAATTGTACCATATAAAAGTACCTGAGTGTTTTGACGTTATTCAAAAAAGTTCTAATTTAAGTAAGTTATAGAAATTTAGTATAAATTACTAACGAATAAATGTCTAATAAGTGACCGCGTGGGCCCCGAATATAATAAATTATATAGATTAAAACCACTGCCGATAATGGATATTCCTTTCACCTTGGGATATTTATTTAAGAGGAAAGTTTTAAGGTTTAGTAGGCCACTATGATGTTGCATGGGTGACGAGACGTGAATTCGAATCCCTACGGAATATTTTTTGTACAATACGATATTAATATGTTATTGTCTTTTTCGATTTTCGACCATGGAGACAGTTTTTGAATACTATCGGAAAATAAAATTGCATTACTATTATTATATAGAAACGTATGTTTTTTAGTATTACATACGTTTTATATGTGTACTCCTACTCGTCCTACTGGGACAGTGTTATATATACGGGAACAGTAAATAACAACACAAGTCATACATAGTTCCGATTGCTGGCCCCAACTTGTCTCATTTATGAGAAGAATATGGCTGATTTCAAATGTCCTTCTAATTTTTATACTTGTCAAATATAATTATTATTATATTACACAATATTTACGCCAGTGGGAAGATCGACTCGCAGTACCGCATCGTACGCGATATTACACAGTAGTGGACCCAGCACCGATCCCTGTGGAACCCCACGTTTGATCTCCCTCCGGATCTTTCTACCATCTTGCCCCATGTACAGAATGTACCTGTCATGCAAGTAGTCCCCGATAATTTGCCTTTCTCGTCCAACAGGCATATGGGGTGGTACGCAGAGGGAGAATCAGCGGCCTTGCCCTCCTTCTTCAAGAGGACCAGCCTTGCCTCTTTCCAGGCTGTGGGGAACGTGGCACACCGTAGACATCTGGTAAACAGCTGCCTGAGCATGTCCCCCAGGGCAGCGAGACTCAGCACTAAGGCCCGGCCCGGGATTCCGTCGGGCCCCGGTGCTGATGATAACCTTAACCCTATACTAACATGCCGCATACAAATGTCAATATGATGCTTCCTTGAAGCGCATTCTGATGAAACGTGTTATTTTACCTAAAATGTACCTATAATTTGTAATAGATTACTATAGTCACTGCGGAGTTTTGATTTTAAGGATTACAATATCATTATAATTACGGGGTGTCAGACATTTTGTCAGAGGTGACAAAGCAATTGTGGCCTTCTTTGTTTAAAGTTGGTTACCAGTAGTCACATAGAACCTTAACCTTTACCTTAAAACCTGAACCGTACAAATTATCAATGTTTACCCAAACGATTTAAATTTATTTTATATTTTTGGATGCGAAAAAGAATAGTCAAGGTAGAGTCTAGTATCTAATAAATCATAATCTAATTATCTAGTAAAAATTTCCGTAAGTGCATCGGCTCAACCGCATAAGATCACCTACCACAACATATCTGTTGTGAGACCAGCAAGTTTTTACGCATTGTCTCGTGGTAACGGGGAGACCGACCAACATATCAAGACTACCTCGAGCTTAAAAATTATTAATTTTTGGTCCATTCTACGCAGAAAAACATCCTTCTTAGTATCTTGCAGTCTTGCACTTGCAGTTATGCTTGGGTTGAAATTTTGTTGATTATAGGATCATATTATGCAGATGGTAGCACTCTTCTCTATTGAAATTAGGATTTATTATTTCAACAGCCTTTTGAATCTGTAATCGATAGGAATCGATGTTATTATGCGAGGATTTGTGGTCTGTCAAATCTGATACGTAATGGCTGGGGCGATCCTGTATTGAGACTGCAGACTTCCCGGAGTGTCGAGTCGTCACATCAGCTATATGTTCTTTTACGACCGATTTTATTAATATTTTGGTTTGTTTAAATTAAGAGGAACACATTCACAACCAAGCTTATACACTCCTACATCTTGTAGGGGGATATTATCTATACTTTTTTGGCAGCTTAAAGTATATTGTAAAGGAAACTCGCTTCAAGGCATATTATGCTCGAATGTGACTGGATTCACATTGTAACGTACGCGTTTGCGTTTATGCTTCACTGTTTTCTATTTTTAATTTAAACTATAGGAATTAAATGTAGATAAAGTTATGGGTGCGGTTAGTTTCCACTATTGTACTTGAAACTTACGGCATCAGTAACTTTGTCAATACCTGTCGACACCGAAAAACGGTAGTTTATAGTAGGTATTCAGATTTTTCCTTTACATTTACGCCTTATTAAGTACTTTGATGTCAAATTTCAAGAAACCGTAGACTTACGAAGCGGCCTAGATTTTTATTGAGTCAGAAAGTGATAAAAATGCCACTTTTCAGACCTTAATAACTCAAGAATTAAAATAGGTTCACCATCTAAAATATACGTATGCGTTTACTACTCAAAAAACCTTCATCCATATGAAATGTAGGTTGCTTGACAGATGAGGAAAGAAACCTTATTATTGCGAAGTTTCTAAATCTCGTTAGGTAGCATTTAAGTATGAAAATTAGAGGAAGGTTAGGATGTAGTGTCAAAGACACTGACTCCACACAATACATTGAGTTATATAAGTTTTGTATTTGTGTAATAAAATATTATCTTTTTAAAGCAGACCATTCTTTGCTCCAGTCTCTCTCAGAAATGAGCGGGAGGCCTGTGGCCAGCCGTAGGACGTTGTTATGTAAATGAAAGGAACTGTCAATAGTTACTACGGTACGTAATAAAACAGAAAACAAAGTAAGCAGTAAAAAATACCAAATAACCGCTTGAGTGACCTTTTTAGAGGAATGTCAAAAGAGTATAGTAATAACTACGGAAGGGATGGTTATAAAGGACAGAATCACAACAAATAAGGTAACCGATTAAAATGAATCAAACATGATGCCAAATATCAAGTTTCTAAGAATTTTTTTACGATTTGTTGTGACAGTGATAAAAATGGCACTTTTCAGACCTTAATATCTGAAGATCTTGATTTTATTATAATAAGTATATGCGTGAAATTTTTAATTGAAGTATTACGAGCATTATTAATCATTTGATAGAGTTGGAAAACACAAGTGTAAGATTTAATATCTTTTGAGTTATGAGGAGATTGAAAATGGCTTGAAATGGCTCACGTAAATATATAGTGCCGGAGCGTCAACCATTTCTTTTCCGAACTTGGCTAATAATGAAATATTAGCCAAGGTCGGAAAAGAAATGGGCGATGAAATCTCGCAATGAGCACACTCCGCACTCACACCGCCCGCTAGTACTCGTATTGACTACTTTCAGTATATATAAAAGTACTCTGTGTTGACTACTAACTACTAGCACTTGCGAACGAAACGATGCGATCTTCCCACCCGTGTATACTGTTCCCCACTTAGGAACACACGCTCTATACTAAGTAACTAACTATACAATAAGTTTAATTTCTCATTATATTACTTTTCTCTCTGACAATATTTGGCAATTTACGATTTAATATCCTTCTGTCGCCTACTTACAGCACTCATGGATGCTATGATTAGTTGTAGATTCTCTTACATCGTGTATATGATACTATTATAATTTAACTCCATGTCACCCAACTCATGTCTCCCATGTCTGCATGTCACCCAACTCGTCCGATAATACCCAAGGATAATGCATTCACACTTGTTTTGTGTTTGAATTATGTAGCAGGCAACATTTTGATGTTTGATGTCACACATCATCATCCGGTATGTGTCAAGTGTCAAAGAATTTCTGCATGTTTGTATTATTGATTACATCAAGTTTGAATAGCTATATGTTGAATTCCAGGACAGATGCTTCTGAATTGGTTCATGTCATCAATTGCTGAAAACAGTCATCTGAAAAACCTTCTAAGTACGCAAGATCTGAAAAATATTGGCATTCAATATTGTACTCACCTCTTAGCAGCAGGTGTCCTGAGGCAGATATCTGATAAAGATGCACCTACAGAAAACGTATTTAAGGTACTAATTTATTATATTATATTATGTCGTATAGGATTTCTAATCATGTATGTTATAAATCTGTATTATCTCGCTGACGAAAACTCACACACACTATGTTACAGTATCAAAATTCCTTCTGAACATGGTCTCCCTATAGATTGTCCTGCAAGGGAAATATTTGCCATAGTTGCCACACTTGGCAGGAGGGTTGAAAACCTAGTTTTTTATTTTTTAGTTCTTATTAGGCAGATGCTGCTGCCGATCTCCTGGTATGCCTTTGTCGTCTCTTACGACTCGACTATAAGGGGTAGTGGATATTCTTACACCACAATTACACAGTACCAGGCCTCCGTCACTCTTGCTACCTGCATGATGTAAATGCCTACAATTGTACAGAACCTTTGGTTATGTACGCAGTCAGATCTCACACGTTTTAGGCAAGTAATATTATTTTGTTAGTACTTGTTTAAATAGTTTTTGTTTATTGTTTTGTATATTTAGTTATAGGATAAAATAGTTGGATAAGTTTTAGTGTAATTTATATGTATATTATAAATTATAAACAATATATTCATTAACAATTTTAAAAATGATATAATGTAAAAACAAGCAAATAATTTACTGAAATTATTAAATAATATTAATTTTATCATTCAGTGTAAATTTTTTCCCTCTCAGTATTTACCTAAATTATATGTTCGATTTAGAGTGTTTTCCATTCTTAAATTTAATAACTCTTATTTTATAGATGGTAAAAATATGCGAGACATTAAAGGAAATAGTTGTAAATTTAATAAATATTAAAAGGTACTATATGTACTGTATTTTAACTTTGTTGAAAACCCTCAGTAACTATGGAATATTGTTTGTGATGTAGGAAGGGAAAAGATGCAAAACCACTTGAGCGTAGTGACACAAACACACACATTTAAAATTGTAATTTAAACAGTTTGTAATAATTTTAGCCACAGTCTAAATGCTAATTTGCACTATTAGCAATTGTTAGCTCACTTTTAAACTTACACAATTATTGACTATGTTTTATTTTAATGTTCTAGTGTCACTTATATTTTTATTACCTTAAAAAACTCACTGGTTTCGCCGCATGGCATCATCAGAGTAAAATATTAATACAAACAACAAACATATCTGCAATACATAAAATTGAGAAAAATTTATTAAAAATTCTTAAAGTAGAACACACCTCAGGGATTTCATTTTATCAATTTTCTGAAGTTATAACTTATATATCTAGAGAATCATTCTTTAAACGATGAAGCCATTTTTTGTTTTAAAATAAGAAGATGTTATACATGTAAAACAAAAATTATTAGTAGGCAATTAAATGAAACTAATTTTATGAACTTTATCACATGTAATTGTAACCTTTTAATTCTCGACGTTTCGGGTGCTAAAATTAAATGTGATCAGCCGTAATTTTTTTTTAATGTGTAGTCTTCATGTAAATATAAGAAATGATTATATTAATAGGTAAATTGAATAATACATTTGTTTTTCTTTTTACTTATATGACACTGATGATACCATGATTCAAAATCTATAATATGAAATAATAAATTTTAATGAAGGTGAAACATGTGTCAATCCAAATGACAAATGAATTTTTATCCGTTTATATTTTTGTTTTCAGCCTAATCTAATGTATTATTGGACACATATGGAGGCACCAGCTTTACAGCCAGTTACACCAGGACGATTACAAATGTGCACATGGCCACCTGACAAAGAAATTAATCAAATAGCTAGAGATAACAGTACATTTTATAGCAGTATGGAAACTGATCAGTTTTCAAAAGGTTATCAAAACAATATTGAAGAAATAAATGACATTAATGAAGCAAAAGTTGTTATTTCACAATTAAGGAAGAAATTGCAAGACCTGGAATATCAATTACAAAAAGAAAAAATTAATAATCAAATTGAGATTTTAAATAAAAATTTGCAAAATAGTTTTATCTCTTTGCCAGAGAGTAATTACATTAAAGACAAAGTTGGTTTATTTGTTGACAGAGCAAATAAAGAAGTTCAGACGTCGAAAACAATAAATGAAATTAATAATCTAACCAGCAGGACACAGATATGTCCTCCAAAATATGATAGCCAAATAAGGAGAAATAGTAATGATGATAACACATTAGGTATAAGTAGGTTAGCTTTTAAAAATGGAATTTCGGTCAATGAAAGTGAAAATGAAAAAAGATCTGAGAAAATTGAAAATTACTGTAAATTGAATAAAAGTAGAGAATATAATAAACCTATTGGTAAAGATGGATATTTTGAGAATATTGATAACAATAATTTATTAATTGATAGTGAAGCCCAAAGTCTTCCAGTTAGTAGTTATGATATTTTTCATGATCATCAGAACATCAGTTTAATAGCTACTTGTGAAAGTTCCTCTGACAATTCTTTTGCAAGTACCTATACATCAAGTGAATTAATAAATAATAGATCTAATAATGAAAATATATTAAATTTACAAAAAAATGAAATAATTGTCCAAAATGCTACATGTGCAACTGATAAATATGTAACAAAAACTATATTTTCCAAAATTGATCAATATACATCATCAGACATTAATCAAACATTGCAAGAAGACAATTGTGAAATTTTACAAAAAGATGTTCATAATTTATCACAACCCAATTCTCAAACTTCACTAACGGAAACAAAAGATGTGTCATCTGATGATGCTCATAACTTACCTATTACTTTAAAATTGTCTAAGTCTATTTTTGAACCTAATGAAGAAGTGTCTTCTCTTCCACCTCCCTCACCGGGAAAGACCCCATCTCCGCCTCCAGCTCCAGGGACACACTCAATTACACCTGAATTAATGACTCCAGCACCATATATTACTCCAACTCAATCCAAGTCTTTTACTCTATCTGTGTCACCTTTAACACCTTCTTCAGATGCAATATCTGAAACAAATACTATATCACAGTCACTGTCGGTTCCTGTTTCAAATGAAGAAAAATCTCCATTAATTAAATCAGAGACTCCAAAAACAAACAAACCTCTTTCAACTTATTTAGATAAATGCTCTGCCCAACTTTTGATTTCCGAAAGAGATAATGAAGGAACAACATTTTCTTCTGAACTTGGTCATCAGATATCATTATCAGTACTGGATACTATTATAACTACCTCAACTACAGGCGACGAAACTTGTTTACAAAATACCCCATCAACACCAGACGTTATCCCACCGCCTTCCCAGTCCCCACCATTGAACGATAGAGATCAGTTTACTTCCAAAATACCTATGTCTGTGTCAATGCCTACTGCAAAGGCTGTGGCGCCACTAGTACCATCAATACCGGATTTAGACTCTCAATCCTCAGCAATGCCTGAATCAATCCCACCGCCTTCTCCAACGCCTGGAATAAGCCCACCGCCTTCTCCAACGCCTGGAATAAGCCCACGACCACCACCTCCTCCAATGTCCGGAATTGGTCAAGCACCCTTTCCGATGACTGGAACAGGCCCGCCGCCTCCCCCAATGCCTGGAACGGGTCAAGCGCCACCTCCACCTCCAATGCCTGGAATGAACACACCGCCTCCTCTAACGCCAGGGTTGGGTCCACCTCCTCCTCCTATGCCTGGCATGGGCCCTCCGCCTCCTCTAACGCCAGGGTTGGGTCCACCTCCTCCTCCTATGCCTGGCATGGGCCCTCCGCCTCCTCCTATGCCTGGCATGGGCCCTCCGCCTCCTCCTATGCCTGGCATGGGCCCTCCGCCTCCTCCTATGCCGAGCATGGGCCCTCCGCCTCCTCCTATGCCTGGCGTGAGCCCTCTGCCTCCTCCTATGCCAGTTATGGGTCCACCTCCTCCCCCAATGCCTGGGATGGGTCCACCTCCTCCCCCAATGCCTGGGATGGGTCCACCGCCACCTCTTATGCCAGGAACTTGTCCACCGCCACCACCAATGCCTGGCGTAGGCCAGACGTTAACTTCAGGCTCTAATATCCATCCACCTCCATTACCTCCACATATTCCAGGGTCAAATATACCTGCTCCTCCTGGTGTGGTATCACAACAAGCGGGGCCTCTGCCATTCCCTACACCACCAGTAGGCGGATGGAACATGCAACGTGCCAGTAAGTACGGGTAAAATATAGTTTTCACAATACTACTATGTAACCATAAATTAATTATTTTAATTAATTGCTTATTGTCACCAAGGTTATTAAAGAATTCCAATCACCATTAAAAAAAATTAAACTGAATTTTTTTTCAAGAAATCGTAATTGAAACTGAAAACTTTTTTTAAGAAAAGATTTCGGAAGTTGGCGGTGTCTCACTTCCGTGCCTCGGAAATCACGTAAAGCCGTTGGTCCTGCGCCTGATCTCTCTCCGGTCGTGTCTGTTAACTGTCCCATCAGATGAGACATGAGAGTGAGGAAATAGAGAGTGCTCTTGTGCTCGTGCGTATACTTGGCATTATAATCTTGTCCTGCGCCAACGGCTGGCCGCCGTGACCGAAATTCGGCCTGGAAGACATTATTACTACCATTGTTGTCAATTGCCATAATAACTTATCTAATATTGATGTAGTAATATTTAATTTAATTAATATTGATAAATTTTCCGTACAGCCTTAAGAAAAACACCTGTAAAACCTGCCGCACCCATGAAGCCGTTATATTGGACTCGAATTTTAGCTGCACCAGTGAAACCAATAAGTCAAGGAGAGCCCGACCCTGCGGGATTAAAGCCGTTATGGCTAGAAATTGAAGAAACAAATTTGGATAATATAGATGAATTCACAGATTTATTTTCACGTCAAGTGGTTAAAGCACCAGTGAAGAAGAAAGTAGAAGTAAAAGCGAAGATACAACCAGTAAAATTGTTGGATAGCAAGAGATCGCAGAATGTCGGTATATTAGCACAAAGTTTGCACCTAGAGTTCTCAGAGATAGAAAACGCGATTTACAATTTTGATACATCTGTTGTTAGTTTGGAAACCTTGCAACAGATTTATGACTTGGTAAGAAATTTGCTCTTTTATCAAGAATACACAATAGCGATAAAAAAGGTAGTGATGTGATGTAAGAGATACCATTCATCGCAAGTCTAGAATTTGGGGCACCTTCTTGGATAACCATATTAGTTTTAATTGTGACAGGCTATTGTGTTGATTTATTCGATTCGATTCCCACCAAGACCAATGAAAATGTTAATTGCAATTTTTATCACTGATTTACTACATGTTCGGTGGTGAAGGAAAACATCGTGAGGAAACATGCATGTCTGAGAAATAAAAAAATATTTCGAAGACGTGTAGTCCGCCATGATATTTCCAAGTGAGAGGATGCCTTTGCCCGGCTGTGGGACGTATATAGGCTGTATCTTTATGACATGCTACTGAGAATAAGGTGTATAACATTTGGTACCTAACTGTAACCTAACTTTGCATGACACTTCCAGATAATCTATACAAATAAATAAAATTAAGTGTCTGTTTGTAATGTCCAAATAACAGCTTTTTACTAAATGCATATGAAAGTTTATACGGTACTTAAACAAACAATTTTTAATATTTTTGCCTGTCTGTTCCGGCTAGTCTCCAAAAAGGCTGGACCGATTTAGACGGGACTTTCACTGACAAATAGCCAATTTTATAAGGAGTAACTACTGCTACTTTTATTTTATAAAAATAATCCAATCGTAATAAATTATTTTAGATAAATGATTAAAAGTTCAAACCTCTATTTTCTTATTAGCCTGCAACGGAATGGATAAAAAACTTAATAATTCTACTTATCCATTGTATTAAAAATTACACCTCACACCATTTATAACATGGTGGGACTTAAAAGTATCCTCTACACAATCGCAAGAGGTGACTTGGGAAAATGCTGAAAAGATCTAATGGTCTTCAATAGATGGCAGTATACTCAAAAATACATCTCATATTATAATAGCAGACGTAAAATACGTAAACCAGGGATAGAAAGCAGCGATGAAGGTGCAATATATCTGGTACTGCGATTGCAAACCCATTTATCATGCGTGGCGGTTACGTTGAGGTATATATTCCATCGTAGACTGTTTACGGGCTGGTGAGGATAACGAGTAATAATAAATTTATAACAATATCATCATAACAACCCATCACAAGTCTATTGCTAAACACAAGGACTGACATAAAACACGGTCTTGAGCCACCTGCATCCTATTGAATCCTTCTGCATTTTCCTGCCTTGCTAGAATGTCATACCATCTAGTGGTGGCCGCCATGCATTCCACCTACTAGTATGACCACTCGAATACCATTCGGTTGTCGGTTCATCAAGCTATGTTGCCGGCGCAATGTTCCGGTGCCGGCCAAAATCTCGTCGTTGGTGATTCTGCTCAAAAAATTCGATGAATTCTAAGAAAAAATAGTGATTGGGAAAGACAGTGTGGTGTAATCATGGTATACTATTGTTATTAAAACAACCATTTAGCAGCACACAAATGACTTATTAGGAAAATTAGAATTGCGAAGCTGACTCCAAACAATTTTTTAATCTTAATTTTTACATTTATAATGCACACTTTAAAATATATTTTTTTTTATTCTAGCGGGCAAGTGATGAAGAATTAATGCAAATTAAAGAGCATTTAAAAAATAAACCCGATATACCATTGGATAAACCTGAAGCATTCTTACACGACTTATCTGGAATACCAAACTTTGCTGAACGAATATCTTGTTTTATGTTTCAAGCTGAATTTGAAGATGCGGTTAACACAACAATGCACAAATTAGATAACTTAAAACATACTTGTGAAGTAAGTTATTTACTATACGTATTCAACCAACAGGAAGAAAGTGATCGTATTTGTATTATATATAACATTTTCTTCATGTTACCAAATATGGTAGTAATACCGTATAGTTTTTACTCTTGCAACTTGTTTTTTTTTTTACATAACGTAACGTATGGTACGAGGGCAGCACTAAAAGTATCGGGAATAGAATATTTCCACTGTTCCTGTCATATTAAAATCTTTTTAGTTGAAAAGTCCTTGGTTTTAAAAATCGAATACCGTTTATTTATTTAAAAAAAGATTCTCGGTCTTGCCACAAGGTTTTATCAAACTTGTTTAGTCGTGGAGAAAATGGAATTAACTCGAGAAAATTCAAGAGCGATGATTTATTATGACTTTCGAAGTGGTTTAACACAAAAACAGTGTGTTGACCGGATGATTTCTGCATTTGGTGATGAAGCCCTATCCAAAACCACAATTTATCGCTGGTTTGCTGAATATCAACGTGGACGTGTCAAGCTTAGTGATGATCCCCGTGAAGGTCGTCCAAAAACTGCAGTCACCAAAGAAAACGTTGATGCTATGCGTAACCTGATTGAGGAAGATCGACATGTGACATACCGCGAAATTCAGGCAACTTTAGACATTGGCATGAGTCAAATACAAATAATCTTGCATGAACAATTAGGTGTAAAAAAGTTGTTTTCCCGATGGATACCGCATTCGCTCTGTGAAGAGCAAAAAGCGGCTCGCGTTACTTGGTGCGTCAGAACCCTCGAAAGATTCCACGCAGGATCCTCAAATGCTGTATACAACATCGTATCAGGTGACGAATCCTGGATATACGCGTATGAACCCGAAACAAAAAACCAGTCACGAGTTTGGGTGTTCGAAAATGAGTTAAAGCCAACAAAAATTTTGTTTGTTCACGGAGTGTTGCAAAAAAATGGTGGCCACGTTTGTCTCCAAAACCGGCCATGTTACGACTATTCCTCTTGAGGGACAAAGAACGGTTAATGCAGAATGGTATGCTAGCATTTGTTTGCCACAGATTGTTTCTGAACTCCGTAAAGAGAACTGCAACCGCCGCATCATCCTCCATCACGACAATGCGAGTTCTCACACCGTACACAGAACAAAAGAGTTTTTAGAGCAAGAAAACATAGAATTATTAGACCATATGCCATACAGCCCCGACCTAAGCCCTAATCATTTCTATACTTTCCCTAAAATAAAGAATAAATTGCGTGGACAGATATTTTCATCATATGAAAAAGCTGTGGACGCCTACAAAACGGCCATTTTGGAGACCCCAACTTCCGAATGTAATGGTTGCTTCAATGATTGGTTCCATCGTATGGAAAATGTGTCAAATTTCTCGGAGAATACTTCGAAAAGCAATAAATACATTTTTAAATAGTAATGTTGTGTCACTTCCTTGATTCCCGAAAATTTTCAGTGCCGCCTTCGTATGACACCTGAAGACTTTCTGAGATCTTTTATCTCATGTTTAACAATAATAATATCTCTCTCTTTCTCTCTCTTAACACCACAGCACAAATGTGGGTACACTGCTTTTCGGCTGAAGTACATAATGCTGTGTTTCGTAACGCACGTAATTGGGCGATAAAAACGTGTGGCGGCATAAGATAATCCATCACCCCTAATTCGTCCCGTGGATGTCGTAAGAGGCGACTGTAGGAAATGCCAGGAAGATAGTGACCACTTACCCTCAAATGCACTGCTAGCTCATTTGTCACTCCCATGTTTTAAAAATCAATTTAGCTATTCTAATGCTCCAATATGTTTCCAGTTTCTTATTACAAGTGAGCCCTTAAAGCAGCTGTTTGCTATAATCTTAACTCTGGGCAATTACATGAACGGCGGCAACTGCCAAAGAGGACAAGCTGATGGTTTCGGTCTGGAGATACTTGCGAAGTTGAAAGATGTTAAGGTATTTATTAATTCAGTAACAATTTTATATTTTAAGATGTTCTACGAGGGCGGGATGATAAGTAACTACCCACTGCTATTTAAAAAGTTAAAATTAAAAAAATATATATGCCATTTTTAAACTCGTATCTCTGGCCATCTGTGTTCTAAATTTGAATTCGGTGGCGTGAAAATTTTATTGATTTTTTGTCATTTGAAAAATATTTCGTCAACTGTTTTCAAAATGGATAAAATTGAACAAAGAGTGGTGATAAAGTTTCTTCATATGAAGGGCATGAAGGGGAAAGATATCTATGACGAGTTAAAGAATTTTTTGGATGAATGTGCTCCTTCTTATGCCACAGTGAAAAACTGGGTGGCTGAGTTTCAACGCGGTCGTACATGTGTCCAAGATGAAGCCCGCCCCGGACGTCCAAAAAGCGTCACGAATCCGGAAATGGTCGTGAAAGTACATGATATGGTTTTAGCAGATCGACGATTGAAGTTATCTGAAATAGCTGACATACAGGCAAGACGGACCAGATCCCAATATGCGCCTTCTATCGCCCCCGAGTGTTCGATACGCGGGGGTTATGATGCCAAGAAATACGACCACTTGGAAGCACCAGTCTTACTGGCTCCAGGGGTGGATCTAGTTTATGGTTCCGCAGCCAACCAAATGTTAGCCGCGGAGGGCAAAGAGAGCAGCGCCTCCCAATACCAACACCGTTCCCCCTCCCCGTGGCTTCACCACCACCGCATCAATAGTGCGACGTGCATCTCTATAACAATGCTCTTTTCCTGCGACTCCACTCGGTTGGGTAGTAGGAATAACCTTCGCGCTGCAGTCCTTCAAACATACATCCAAAGTGGGCTTGCAAAGTCTACTCGGAGTGGTCACCTCGGGCCAGCCATGTGCCTTCCTCTAAGTTTTACCTTGAGTAATCGACCCAAGCTTATTACGCTCTTCTGCCACGACAAGGCGGGAACTTTAGTGCTGCTGTGTTTTTTATGGTGAGTGCAGCGAGCCGGAGACACTTTTTACTGGAAACGAGGCATTCCATCTCAGTGCTCGGGGGTGACAACGCATATGCATTTTGATCCTTAATTGAGGATAAATGTTGATTTCTATGGGTCACTGCATTCACTTACTATCGGGTGGACTGTGTGCTCGTTTGTCATTCTTATTCTATAAAAAAGGTTGTAATGAATAAACTAAAATTAAAAAAATTGAAACCCCTCGAAACAAAAAGAGCTGATGATTTTCAAACGGCTGAACAAATTCGTTCTTGAAACATAACTAAGAACACACTCGATCGAGCCCCTTTCAAACAAAAAAGAAACTAAATCTAAATCGGTGCATCCGTTTAGGAGCTACGATGCCATAGACAAACATACAGATCCACAGATACACATACACACAAATACACACGTTAAATATATAACACCCCTCTTTTTCGTCGGGTGTTGAAAAGAGTAGGTGTGTGTGATATTGAGTGGCGTTGTGGTGTGGCGTCAGTCGAAGCAGTCGCAAGTGACGCTGCTGCACTTCATCGTGCGCACGTATATGCGGGCGCGCGGCGGCGCGCTGGCGGCGGGCTGCGCGCTGCCGGTGCCGGAGCCGGGCGACGTGGCGCGCGCCGCCGCGCTCGACTTCGCCGACGTCGCCGCGCACCTGCACGCGCTGCGCACGCGCCTGCAAGGTACACTCTTTTTTATTCCTTTTTTTTTAAACGATAATGCTTCTTTGCTAATGGACTCGTTCGATTGTACTTTTGCCAGTGTCAAGCAATCACACTTGCAGAATACCAACGTAAAATAACAATTTGCACAGATTGTTCACTGGAAATCTCACCTATAATTTAGTTTTAGGAACACAAATCCTGGCAAAAAGTATACATTGTTTAGATAATGAATATATAAATTATGTTATTATTAATAGTAATAACTTTTAACGTGGTAGAGCCATGCTGCAGCTATATTAGTAGTATATTGTAGCACGAATGGATCGGTTCGACTGGGGAAGAACCACACTCTCACAGAATACCAGTGAAAAATAAGCGTTGTGTTATTTAAAATCGAATGGAATAACACTTATCTTGTAATTTTTGCTAATAATTTATTACTAAATACAACAAGACCGAAGTGTATTATATTATTATTTAAAAAGACATCGAACAACTCAAGAAGAACTAACCGACACAATTAATAATCCCAAAGTCAAGTAGCAGTTTTAATTTACCTTTTAATTAATTGATGAAATAAATACGCAAAATTTGTATACAGAATTCTGTTAAAAATTATTGTAAAACTAAAATGGATTGAAAATAATAAAAAAAAACTACGACGCCCAATTCTCGTTGCCAGTTCTTCACTTTAGAATCTAACTTTTAAACCTGGTAGATTTTGAGTTTCATGGGAGCTAGAATTATTAAGTTTATATCAATATTTGAACCGTTTATATGGAATAAAATATTTGTATAATAGTCTACATAAGTATAAATAAAATAAAGGTGACAAACGAACTCATGGTCCACCTGATGGTAAGTAGATGCTGTGGGCCATAGACATCTACATCTACCCTCAATTAAGAATCAAAATACAGATGCATTGTGATGGAATACCTCATTTCAGTAGACAGGATCGCCGGTTCTCTACTCTCATCATACGAAACAGCAACATTAAGCTGCTATTTTATGCTGATATTCTTTGAAAGCTTGGTCGAGACCGTGCTACCAACATTAATATAGCTACATTGTTCTACTATGTGTAACTTATATTTTTTTTTATATATTTAAATAAACAAAAACAAAATCCTAAAGTGAAATATATATACACAACATTTAACGTAATTAACGCACACCCTCAGACACCCCAATTAGTATATTATAATAATAATAATATTCCACAACTATCAAACAACGCCATCTAGTCCCAAGCTAAGCAGAGCTTGTGTTATGGGTACTAGACAACTGATAAACATACTTATATATTTCTAAATACATAAATATTATAGATAAATTACACCCAGACACAGAACAAATGATCGTGCTCATCACACAAACATTTGTCCTGGGTGGGAATCGAACCCACGACCTCCGGCGTAGCAGTCAGGGTCACTAACCACTAGACCAACAGGCCAGTCAATTTTAATGTTATGTTATGTTATAATCATAATACATACACTGACTCTTATGTTAAACATATTTATGCATTGATTATTTATTGAATTAGTTATACTAATTTCGGAAGAACGTTGTGCTCACAGTACAAATCCATGAACGCACGACGCGCGATTGTATACGATATAAAAAAATATCTACCTATGAACATTAACCGATGTCTGAATGAACTCCGAGCATCCAGTTGTTTATTTAAGTCTAGTAAATATTTGATTGTTATCTTTCCATCAAAGATAGGCTTTGGACAGTCGACTCTAAATAATTTTGATTATTGATTATTATACAATAGTTTATAGGCAATATTCGTTACAAAATGTTATACATTAGTATAACATTTTAATTGTAATTGTAAATAATAATGAACTACTAAAAATAAGAGGCGATACGACAACATAATTCAAAGACTGCATTTAAAAAAATGTGAATCAAGATATTTACAATAATTTAAAAATTATCAAATACTTGACTTACTAATAGACTATTCATGCAACGTTGTATTTTTAATACACTTTCAAAATGACCAACACCTTGGTCAATACATTTTAATGGCAGTTTTCTTAATTTATATTTTAATTTAGAAAGCACTTCAGTGTCATTTTTCACTATTTCCAAAGCGTTCACTATCCAAGTTTTATATCCTCGGCACTTGTCTTACTAAAATAAAGCAATCAGCTGATTTGGGAGGTCACTGGACAGCCGTGACCTATCGAACTAATATTGTTTACATTTAAGGGGCTACTCCATGCGTACGACCTTGAGCATTCGGTCCGCTGCGTCGACTCACTACAATATATTGCGTAAGAAATATGCAAGACGCCACCTACTGTACGAACGTAGTATTATTTTTTCAACATCAATAAACTATTTTATGGAAAAAAGAAATAAACACGGCGCACTTATAAATGTATTTTAATTTTTTTAATCAGTATAATAGTTGCATTATATTAGAATTATGTATTTTCATATATTATCTAATTATGAAATTTTATAATTAATTATATATTAAAAATGAAGCATTGAAAATTGTGAGTTTAAAAGATACCTACTCACTATAGGTAAATAGATAAATAGCTCGCCTTTTGTACAAATACTTGGTGCAATAAAGAATAAATAAATAAATAGGATGTTTCGCAGATGTGTTTTTGATTATTGTTAATTTTTACGTGTCACGTATTGAAAAGTAATATACCTACCTACTAATTTTTGAACTGAGCACCTTGTAACTTAGCCTCATGCTTAGCCTGCTTATTACTAATGCTGGCTGATATTATCCTCACCCCAATGATTGATGAGGATGACAAAAAAAACATGTTTGTTTTTATTTTTATTCAATTTTATTTCTACATACGTACTTATATTTATTTATATATAAGGGTAGCTTTAATAAAGGTAATACAAAAATCAACAAGAAGTATAAGGGTTCAATCTTTCAATTTCAATTTTTAAAAAAAACGTCACCCCCACACTAGGATTTTCTCCTGTGTCGTGGAGGCAGTTTACAAACATAAATTGCACAAGGACAAACATCCAGACCCGGAACAATTATTTGTAGGCTATACAAATACTTGTTCCGTGCGGGATTCGAACCAGCGGCCCCCAGCGCAGCAATTGATTTCTAAGCCACTGCGCCACGGAGTCGTCGCAAAGTGATCATACGTTCCGTTTTGAACGGGACTGTCCCTGTTCTAGGTCACCCATTGTCCCCAAATAAAGCTCCGGGACATAAAATGTCCCGTAACTCGTTGGATAGAAGTATTCAAAGCCAACATAATTTTTAATCGTATATATTTTATGTCTACCTGGTACAAATGCTCCGGTAGAAAGAGTATTTTCTATTTTGAATAAATTGTGGACGTCTGAAAAAAACACTTACGGTTCCAGTTCTAAAGGCGATTTTGTTAACAAAGCTAACAATAAAAAAAGCTTGCCCAGAATTTTATTCTTATTTAAAATCATCACCAACTTTATTAAAGCAAATTTAATCCATTGACAAATGTAATTAATAATTTTAAAAAATATGTTGCATTTAATAATTATCGTCTATACCGAATATAATTTTATAGTGAACACTAATTGTATAAAGTTATAGTTTTTAGATATAAATAAACCCATGTCCCGTTTTGAGTTAAAAAATAAATGGTCAGTTTAGTTATAGGGGTTTTTGGGTTGTAATTAAATGATGCCCGGTAGGTATTAGTACTTACGTAGTAAAAGTAGGTAACTATTCAGATAAGTACCTCTTATCTAATCATAATACCTACATAGGTACTTTTTACCTAATTACTATACCTACCAAGATATTGTGGTTAGGTATTATGATTATTTTTAACTGTATACTATACTGATAATATTGAATTAGCTTTTTATAGTGTAAATTATAATATTTGTCGGAATGTTAATTATGGCATCCGGACGGTCGACCTCTGCCAAGACAACTCCGCTCTATAGCGATTAGAGAATCGAATAATAACTCGCAATGCCGCAGATAGGCCAACTTAGACGCCCAGGCCGAATTAGTCGCCTATAGGCCGACTTACCCGACCGGGCCTTATTAGACGACCATAGACCAAATTAAACGCCCAATTCAAACCAAACCTTACATGCTAATGGTGCTTAATTTTTATATTTGCATTTACTTCAAAGAAAATACACGCAAAAAGTTCCTCGCGCAGTAAAAAACACAACAAATATATGTATAACTAATACGAATAATTATACCCAAAACAAACAAATAATATTACCTATAAATAACCTAATAAGTAATAATAATATTATCGACTTATAAGATGACGTGAGCGTGTGCGCTGGCCGACGCCTTGACTAATGACACGGGTTTCACCTTCAAGAGCTTAGCGCTCACTGACTCCAGCAACCCTGTGGCAGTGAATACGCCCAGTTATTAAAATAATTTCTAAATAAAATCAAAGTTTGGTCTTTTGAAAAAAAAAATTAAGTTCATTAATAAATTGCCTATCCATTAGTGTCAATCGCAAAATTCAAATAATGCTTACTTTACGAGAAGATGCATGTTATCAATAATTATTTCACATTTATATGGTTTCGTTGTAAGGAGATTATTTTAATATTTATTCCTTTTGAAAAAAATTGGATATGACTCTTATGAAATCAAGATTATGTAGAAATATAATATGTTTTTTATTAGTTGATATATCTTTTTAATAAAAAGTAGATAGCTCCTAAAAACAGCACAAATAACGACTAGCGCGACATTTTGCTCAACCATGCGCCTTAAGTTAGCCTTCATCGTAGCCGCGCTAGTGCGAAGCGCCAACGCCGGTATCATGCTATGTCGCTTGAAATAAGGTTCATTTTTCTTTGTTTTGTATTGTATAACGGAATTTGTATTAATACAAATAAAACTGCACTTTCAAGTCTTATTGCCTTGAGTTACGGTCCATTTCAGTTTGTTTTGACTGTACAGGTTTACTGTGACTATAATTTACGTAGTTTTAATAATTTTTGGGATAAAACGATTTCTGATAAAGCGATTCTGATCAAACTAATTTCAAAACTACTAAGTACATATATAGAGATTTTCATGTTTGTTTACCAGTCAAATATCAATGTTCTTATTTCTTTCACAGCATGTAGAGAACAAACAAAGAAAGTAATTGAATGTGACGCACAAAGGAATGAAGACGGCAATTCTCCATCTGGTGAAAACACTAAGAGGCTTGAAGTATTTAAAGAAAAAATGACTACATTCCTTGACGCTGCTGAGGAAAAACTTAAGACTGAGAATGATAATTTAGAAGAGTGCCGTGCAAAGTTCATTGCCACAATGAAGTTCTATCAGTATACACCGAAATGTGGCAAGGTGGAGGACTGTGAACCTAAGGAATTCTTTTCGCTCTGGACGTCGTTTTGTAGTGATTTTAAAGACATTTTCAAGAAGGAGGAACAAATAGCCATAAAAGAAAAGTAAGTGCTATAAATATATGTATTTTGTCAATACTAACTTCTCTATAACAAAAAAATAATTTGTAAGTACTCGTTAGCGAAGTGGCTAAGCTCCGCAGGGAACAAGTATTAGTCTGGTCTGGTTTTTCCATGTGCAATTTATGTTATTTAAAACACACACCATAGTGGTGTGTATTTTTGGACACAATTCTAGTGTGGGGTTACTTTTTTAAAATATTGTCTTTAAAGATGAAATAATTACATGTATCAAATATTTTTTGTGTCCAAGTAATTATACTGTCGCACTCACGATTTTTGGTCAAAAATATTTTGTTTTACAATTGCAGGTTAAAAGAGACCAAAAAACTACAAGAGGAAAGGAAATCTTTGACACAACCAAAAAAAGAAGGTGGACTTAAGGCTCGACTACAAAAGTTGTCAGGTACTAAGAAATGAATGTTCAGGTGTGTCAGAAAGGAACTCAATCGGGCTCAAAGTATAAAACTAGGTGCAGTACACGCGTATTTTTGAGTGGAAGAAGCTGTTTTAAAAGTCTTACATGCAAACTTGCCTTTTCGTATTGCGAGAAATTTTGACTTAGCTGTATTCGCCAATATTAAATTATATAAAGAGATCTTATTACCATAACACTGATATGAACATCATGATAGAGGTGCTATAGTACTCTAGAGTAATGCTTAAGCAGTTAATTTCTTTAAAAAAATAGGTACCACTATTTGAAAGTCGGCCAATTTGTCATGTGTCCGTTATGCTGAAACAAGTAATTTTTCCATAGAGAAAAAATTATGAATACCTATTCTTTTTATTTCCACAATAACCACTTCCTTTTAATTGATATTGTATTTAAAATCGATAATAAAAAGATGTGGAGTGACTTACACAAGTAAAATAAAGTGATTTATGCACAAAATAAATTTATTTCGTAAGCATTAGCTGTTTAACATTGAAATAAAAATATAATAACTAGGAAAGAATATCAAATATATTATAATAACTGTTATTATTGTGGATAACAAAGAAATACTTCAATTTACTACCCATTTTATACTTAATGTTTTTCAAATATTTGTTATATTTTATAATCAATAGATTTATTGTAAATAATCGCCAATATCAAAATCATGACAAAAAGTAAATGCATCATGGGTTACATTAAATTATTTATTATTTTATGCATCAGGGATATTGATTGGTTTTCTGTTCTTAATGTGATTCTAACAGTGGCTACTAAATGTAAATGATCAACCAAATAATACCTAAGTTTATTGCCTGTTATATTGCTCAAAGATTTGTTACAAATGTCTAATGATACTTTGTGTGAAGCCTTGCCATATTACAAAATATTGTAGTACATTCCTTTAAAAATGAATGATTTTTACAGAAAATCGAATTTGTAATGGCTTGTATCTATGTGTAAAGTAATTGATCTAAGAATGGTCTTACAAGAATGTTTATTGCTATTTATTGTTATGAGAAATGAAAAGCTTATACTACATGGAAAAACCAATTTGTCAACAAAATGTTCGTGAATTTACAGATTTTTACTTAACTTATTTAACCATGTTTTGTATTAAAAAAAAAAGAGTAATAAAAACTTTTTAACAGATCAGTTTTTGTTTCAAAGAATCTGATAGCTAATTAAAAATTCACAACAGGCAACAACCTGTTTTTGGTTTAAATTATGTGCAAAAATATTTTGTTTTGCCATAATATTACAGTTATAAAGCAGCTAATGGTTCACCCAATGGAAAGTGGCTACTGTAGACACTTGACACTTGCAACCTAGTGGATTATTCCGTTTATCCAACCTAGGATGGATACTCGGAAACCAGTACATCTCATTATATTGCATTTAAATCAAATTAAACTTTCTCGTTTTAAATAATATTATTACGTAATTTATAAATTCTGCAATATGTCCAGGAAATTACCAACACTAATTTCATTATTGAGTAAGCGTAATTTGATATCCTGGATAAATTCGTCACTTTTTAATGTACGTTTGCAATCATTTTCTAAATTTCTTTGCTACAACAAATGAGTTAGCGAAAAACTGGGCGTATTTTTGCAAGCATTCTAAAAACGTTACTTTTGGACGTTTGTCTTTAGCTGAACGCACATTTGTCCGCGCCGTACGTGCCGAATTTTACTGATGGCCTCGCACTCTTGCACCTACGCACCGTCCGCGCCGTCCGCAAATCTTTTGGATTACCAACAACTCTTGCAGTTTTTTCCAACCACTGGTGTGTAACGGTACATTAGATAGATTAGATTGAAGACATTATCGCTCGGAATCACTATGGAAAAAATATTGTAATAGCCTGGTTATTGGCAGAGGAAGAAGAAAACAAAATTCGAAGAAAAAGAAGATTCTGGATTCATAGTATTAATTTAAAAAGGCAATTGTATGGAGTATTTTTAGATAGCTATTTTTAGAGAACTATTTTTTTAGATATTTGCATTTAACATGTAAGAAATTTCAAGAATTGTTACATAAATTAAAACCTTATCTTTCTATGGAAAACTCAAGATTTAGAAGGCCAACTGAACCAGAGGAAAGACTTGTTGTATGATTGAGGTAAGTATTTTATTGATAATTAAGTAATCAAGTATAATTGGGTTTTTGAATTAAAATTCACTATCAATTTTTTTTTTATGTATTTACATAATTTATCACTAAGTATTCATTTCACAACGTTTATCGGAATTTCAATTTCGTTGCAGCATTTTTCTGCCAACCTGTAACCGCAGTGTACATTTAACACTTAAAAAATATAATTCGAAACAAAAGTCGAAACCACCAGTTTTAGTGGAAAATCCACTAAGTTTAAGGCAACATTAGACAACACTGATATCAACTCGCGCCAAACGCGCCGCGTTATATGACGTCATCAGCATTCGTCCTTCGATATAGTATACCTACCGCATTTTATAAAATTCGGCGCGTACGATGCGGCTGTAATGTGCGAGGTTTCATATGATTTCATACAACGAATTCTAAAATTCGGCGCGTACGGCGCGTACGGCGCGTGCGGCGCGGACAAATGTGCGTTCAGCTTAAAACTTCAATTTGTTCTATGACTACTAACTACAACTACTGTACATCGATCACTAATAAAAAACTAGATACACAATCTCATGCAAAAGTTTTTTAAAAATTGTCGCCAAATGGTTTGACGTAATTCTAGTTGAAATAAATATACATTAATGTAAATTCAACCTTAAATGCATTGCCTAAAGATGTATTCACAAAGCTACGAACAAATTAAAAGCACACCCAAATGTTCAAGTGGGTTCTCATTCGGTAAGGACATTTTTTGTCACTGAATGCCTATCTAAAGGCGCGTCTCCACCAAAAATGTTGACAACATTTATGTTTCCGATGTTGACAAATCAACAAAAGTTGGCGACATTTGTTTCAAAATGTTGCAAGAAGCGTCTCCACCGAGGGAACAAATGTCGGCAACAAGCGTATTCCTTTGATGTAGCCGCCGAAAATGGAAGCACGATTCCCGACATGTTTCGTTTTGTTGCTAAAACTAGGTGATTACAGAAACATTTGTCGGCAACACGTGTTGACAAATGTTGAAAACTTTGGTGGAGACGCGCCATAACGGAGCGTCGCGATTAGTTGCGCGAGTAGAGCAGTGTGTGGGCAGAAAGGGCAAAACATCGCGGCAGCGTGAGGAGTGTAGTGTGACTGTGTTCATCTATCCACCCTAAGGTGGGTAAACGGAATAACCAATACGGAAGTCCCGCTTTGTAGTATGAAACTATATATGGTTTGTAACACCGATCAGTATTAAGATGAAATGCCTCATAAACTTTAAATATACTGCCTCTCTCTCATTCTTCAAATGATAGCACTATGCGCGAACGATAGGATGGGAGTGACAAACTTACATTTCGCTTTGAATTGCGCACTAACTTTGTGCCTTGTGTGGGATTTGCAAAACATTTAACCAAAAATAATTTAGTTGTATTTATATTAAAATAAATGCATTTAGTTAGAGTAAGGGGTAGGCCTTATAGACGGAGAGCTGGCTACATATAAAAAATCGATTTAGGTACACAGTTGATCTGTATTAAAAAAGAAACCTTTGGTGTAAGCGAACATATATTTACCTGTCTACAATTGCGAAGCTGGGGCGTCTGTCACGGCTTTAGCCCCCACTTCTCTGCCTGCCATTTGGTTTTTTTTCTTTATGTAATGTATTAAAATAAAATAATTTAAATTCATGTACCTCTTGTTTTTTTTTATTATCATAATACGTAGCAGCACGTAATCCCCTAGCAAACTGTCTGCCTATAATAATATCTTATTATTTATATTTTAACTCAGCCAATGATTTGACATCTGCTTCTTTTGAGCAACAAAGTAATTTTACATTTGATTTGGAACCAGTTGCAAGTAATTTAAATTAGATAATAAGCTAATAGAGGTAATCTCTAGCAAAGATAATTTAAATAGTTTAGAATGCAACTTACCAATACATAATTATGTAATTTCACAAAATAACAATAATAAAAACTGTATCAACCTGGTGCATCAAAATATACAAGGTATGTTAGGCAAAGAATTAAAAATTGAATTATTTTTAAATAGTAACAGTATACATATTTTATGTATTACTGAACATTGGTTGAAAGATTACAACTCCATATTTAATTTCAGTAATCACCAGGTGGTCAGTTCGTTCAATAGAGATACTAAGTTACGTGGTGGCTCCTTAATGTTAGCTAATAAATCCTTATCATGTATAGAACGTATAGACATTGTGAGCCTTTCTGTTGAGCGTACTGTAGAAATGGCATGCGTTGAGCTTGAGCACCTTATTGTTGTCAGTGTTTACAGACCCCCATGTTCAAATTATGATACCTTTGAAAAGGTTATGGAAGAAATTTTAGTGACCTAAGTTTAATAAACAGAATAAATCTCTTGTAGTGTATTAAATTTTGCTCTTTGTTCAAATCCTATATTATAAAAATTATTCTATCTTGATAATTTATTCTTTGAAGCTACACGTATTGCAGGGTGTAGTGCATCTTGTATTGATAATATTTTACAGGTGTCAAATCAATAATTCAAAAACTTAGTTCAGATCACTGTGGACAACTGTTTTCATTACCTTATATGCACAAAAAACAGGTAATTGAGAAAAGTGTGTTTGTTCCTATTAATACAAAACGCCTGGAGTGATTTAGAAGTAATATGGTAAAAAACCTTCCATCACTTTCTTATAAGAACAATGCAGACTATTTATATGGAGAATTATTTACCCTCATAAGCAATGAATTTCAAAAAACATTTACTTCTAAAACATTCTCCAGAAACACTTGCAAGGCATTTAATGAGTGGGCGACAGCAGGAATTCTTAAAAGCAGACGAAGGTTATATGACCTTTACAATGAAAGATCATATAATCTTTCCGATGCTTTTAAAAAATATGTTAAAAATTATTCTAAAATGTTTAACAGAGTTTGCTCCACAGCCAAATCGTTAGGTACATATTAGCAACAAAATTAAGACGGCTAAGAATAAAATTAAAATGACGTGGAGTATAATTAACAATGAAACCGGTAAAGACAAACCTCGTAACTCAAACTATCAATTAAAAATTAACAATGAATTGACTAAATCAAATCAAGAAGTCGCAGCGGTGTTTGATAAATATTTCACTGATATTCCTATCTTGACAACCGAGTCATTGAATACTTCTCCAACTGTCCCCGAGTCATTACTCAAACAGAATGTTAACACCTGTTTAAAAGAATTTAGATTTGAAAAAGTATTATCGTAAGATGTTTTAAAATACTTCAAAACCATTGATGTAAAGAAGACCGCAGATTTGTAGGGGGATTTCCGTTAGTTATTGCGTCCATAATAGATTTAATTGCACCTCATCTTGCTATTATTTTTAATACTTGTATCGATTCTGGTGTGTTTCCTGATTTAATGAAGTATACCTTTATAAAGTAATACCTTTATTTAAATCTGGTAGTACATTGGACCCCGCTAATTTTAGACCTATTTCTGTACTACTACTACCAACTCTCAGTAAAATTTTTGATTATATTTTAGATTATATAATCTTGGATCAATTGTTAACTTTTTTTAATACAAACAAATTACTTCATAAAAACCGATTTGGTTTTAGAAGGGGTCGCTCGACGACAGACGCCGGTGTTGAGCTTATGAAATATATTTTTAATGCCTGGGAGAATTCACAAGATGCCTTAGGTATTTTCTGTGATCTTTCCAAGGCTTTCGATTGTGTTCATCATGAGACATTAATCAGGAAACTACAACATTACGGTGTAAAAATTTTGCGCTTAGACTTATTACTTCATATTTAAGTAACAGAATTCAAAAAGTAGTGATTAATGGTAAAGGTTCCTCCGGATCGGTAGTATCAATGGGCTTTCCTCAGGGCTCGATTCTTGGCCCATTCCTGTTTTTATCTTTAATGACTTACCTTATCTTGTAGCGGACAATCACGATATAGTATTATTTGCTGACGATACCTCTTTAATTTTCAAACTCAAACGACAGTTAATTAATTATGACGATGTAAATAATACTCTATCGAAATTGGTACATTGGTTTAACGCCAACAATATGCTCTTAAACGGCAATAAGACAAAGTGTATTAAATTTACAATACCTAATGTAAAACATTCGAATACCAATGTGCTGTTAAATGGGGAGGAGTTGAGTCTTGTGGATACTACTGTTTTTCTTGGTATTACTATTGACGCGAAACTTCAATGGGACCCCCATATATCTAAATTAGCAAGCAGACTTATTACTGCAGCATATGCTGTAAGAGAGATTAGAAGTCTCACAGATGTTAAGACAGCTAGATTAGTGAATTTTAGTTACTTTCATAGCGTAATGTCTTATGGAATTTTGCTATGGGGTAATGCGGCTGATATTGAAGCTATATTTGTTTTGCAAAAGAGAGTCGTACGGGCGATTTATAACCTAAATTGTAAAGAGTCCCTCAGACAAAAATTTAAAGAAATAAACATATTAACTTTGGCATCGCAATATATTTATGAGAATGTAATGTATGTGCATAAAATCATAAATAGCTTTAATAAGAATAAGGATGTGCATACTGTAAATACTAGGAACAAACATAAGCTTGTAATGCCAGTTACTAGACTCCACAGAATCAGTAATTCATTTATGGGGCAATGTATACGCTTTTACAACAAAATCCTAGGAAATATTCAATCATCATTTATCTTCACACACAATCCCTGACAGGGTAGCCAGAGAGAACAGATCGCCAAGTGTCACGATCCTTACATACCTCTTTCCCTTCTTTCAGATTCATTATCTTCTTCATACATGCACGTCTAGGTATCCGAGTACTCTTGACCCTACCCTCTTCGAGCAATTTGCTCACATGGTCTTCGAAAGTTAGTCTCGGTCTACCTCGACACCTTTTAATATTAACTTTCGCGCTATATATTTTCTTCACCATTCGGTCTTCACTCATTCGCTCAACGTGCCCAAACCACCGAAGCACGCCCTTATCAATTTTTGTGATAAGGTCATCTTTCAAACCTGCCATATTGCGAATCTCTTCGTTTCGCTTTCGGTCGGCCATGGTAACGCCGCACATTTTACGAAGAGATCGCATCTCCACTGCATTCAACTTGCTTTTATGCTTCTTCTGGCATACCCAGGTTTCGCTGCCATATAACAAAGTCGGTACCAACACTGCGTTATGTATTGCAAGGCGTGCACTCTTCACTACGCCTTGCCTTTTGACTAACGCAGTCAGGGCACCATTGACTTTGTTCCCGGCAGCGACACGCCTGTCCACATCTAAATCACATCTTCCATCCCGGCTAAAAGCACTCCCTAAGTATACAATTTCATTTACTTGTTCTAGACATTCCTGATTTACCCATATTTCACACTTCGTTCTCTCTTCGTCCCTTTCAAATACCAAAACCTTAGTTTTAGCGTTCAAACGGAGACCTTTAATTTCACATTCCTCTTTCATACACGTGACTAATGCCTGTAGTTCTGCCTCTGATGGTGCAATAAGCACTGCATCATCAGCATACAGCAGACAATTTAATGTCACCCAATTTCACACCCAAACAGCTATCTTTCAGCTTTTGTAAACAGCTGTCGAGATACAGTATGAACAGCCAGGAAGACATGACACAACCCTGTTTTACGCCCGTTTGGACGCTAAACATGGGTGACAGGTCATGCCCTACCCGCACACAGGCTTTACAGTCACAGTAAAGAGACTGCACAGCCCTTAGCAATCGACCATCCACACCATACCCCGGCAACAGTTCCCACATTTTCTTCCTTACAACCTTATCAAATGCTTTCTCAAGATCCACAAAAGCACAGAAAATCTTCTGGTTAGCAGCCAGAAGCTTTTCCGTGATCATGCGGAGAGAAAACATTTGATCCGTGCATCCTCTTCCAGGTCTAAATCCGCATTGTGCCTCACATAGAAATCTTTCAGATTTCTCTTGCATCCTACGTGTCAAAACCTTCGAGTAAACTTTACTTGCTAAACTGGTCAAGCTGATCGCCCGATAGCACCCATATTCATATTCAAAGTTTGTCAATAAACAAGTTTAAAAGTTTTATTAAAGAAAAACTGTACAAAAAGGGTTATTATAATATCAAGGAATACATGAATGAAAATAACCCCTGGGAATAGGGTGATCGCCACCATGCTGGTTCTATGAAAAATCATTTAAAAATTGTATAAACAAAATTATTTAAAGTGAAATTATGTTTAAAAAAAAAGTCCCGCTGGGTTTCTTGCTGGTTCTTCCCAGGACTGAGGTATTTTTCGAACCAGTGGTAAATAAAAAATGACTTTCAATAAGTATTATGTAATAATCAATATTGAATAAAAAATTATTCTATTCTATACTATGCATTTACCCGTGTTACACATAGTTTTCGAGATATCTGGATTTAAAGTAGGTTTATTGATAGTTGAACTACTTGCCCAAAGGCCACTATTACTATTTTTCATAGTTGACCTGTAGGTTTTTTTAAGATCTATGCTGACAAAGTACCCAATAAAAGCTAGTAGAAAATAAAAAACATATTGTTTTTCTTTATTTACCAGAATTGTTATGTATTTAAAAATTGTTTTCTTATACTAATAGTGTAGTGGTAAATGAAATTGTTATAGCGTGCATAACTGCCCTGAAATCTGCATTTGTCCAGTTTCATAAGAAAACTTAAAACTAAAACAACTGATATTTTTTTACAATTAATTACCTATCCATATTAACTACAGTCTAAGCATTTATCTTTCCATAGTTTCAGGAATTTTCTTTGAATTTTCCTATTATTACTGAGAGATTCACCAAGTTTAAGTAGAGAAGATTTTAAAGCTTCCCATTGCATAAAGCTTAATTGGTTTGTTAGAGACTTTGTGCTCTGTTCATATCGAAATGATTCTTCCTTATTTATGAATTCAAGTAAGGTTTGCCTGTTAGTAACTCTATCTATTGAATGGTAATAAGAGTTATTCTTTATTTTTATTTCACTTTCAGGTGTTGCAAAGAAAATTTTAAAACTTTCTCTAGATAGAGCTTCCCCTTTGTCAACATGTTTCTCTGCCAAGACTCCTGTTGTTTCAACAGTGATTTTATCAGCATTTGGCAAATTGTTCGTAACTATTTGATCAGTCTCTTTATTTATTTCATTAATATAGTTCATTAAGCTATCAACATTATCACTTTCATCATCTTCATCAAAAGTTGGATCCATTTTGATCACATCTTTATGTGACCATTGGAAACGTCCAAAGTGCTCATGATTTTTTAAATCAAGCCAGTCATTTAAATTTATTGGCAGTTCATAGCCATCTGGTAAAAAAGTTAAACCTTTTAACTGTAATTTTTTAAGAAATGGGTACATTTGCAAATACCAACTACAACAATGTTGAAGTAAAACATTACTCAAAGACCACACTCTACTTAAAAGTGCAAACGGCATTAATGACATCCAATGACTTTCCCCTCTTCTTAGTCTATCAAAATAGAAAACAGCTGCCTGCTTACAACAAACTGATATTCTTAACATTAGTTTTGATAATGTCATTAATCTTACTAAGACATACTCTAACATTTGTCTTGTTGGTAAGTAAAGTGGATTTTCTTCTTCATTTGGCAAAACCATATCAAAATCCTTTAGGTCTTTAATAAAATTTAACAGTAAATATCTACGAAGCGCAGTATTAACTTTTTTAAAAATTCGGTATCCAATATCATTTCGAAACTTTTTATCGTACTTATATAAAAATCTTGACAATATTGCACTTTCTTTGTGTAAAGGCGATTGTTTAGATAAAACATTCTTTGCGGAGCCACACACACGTCTCAAACATCGGATATCTGAAAGAAATTGATTCGCATTTTTAATCGTTAAGATTAATATTACAACTAGTTCTAAAGAAAGGAATGTTATTAGATTACCAATATTTTCCAAACATAAATAAGTATGAACTGGGGGAGGTAAAAGAAGTTTATTGTTCCACGGTTCCAGCATTATTAATGATTTGCTTCCTAAAAATTAGATTTTAATTAAATTATTTTAAGTTAAAGGTTAGGCAGATAGGCAGCAAACAAATTAACAAAGAGTATAGTAACTGTCCTATACAGGAATAATAAAAATTAATAATAAAAATGATAATAAAGTTTTTCTTCTTCGTGAGGTTAGGCAGAGACACAAACACAAAGTTCCACATTTTTTATAACTGGCTTTATGGCTTTGGGTTCTAGCCCTTCTGAACCTGAAGTTACAATGTATAATTATCCTTCATAATACATTGCTTCACAATATGTTGATGCATCACATTGTGCAGCCCTTGGGAGATTTTGACGGCAACTTGAGCTAGCAGACAGCTGGCAGTTGGCGATGGTATCTCAAGGCGCCTAAGCAGACACACACCTTATCTTGAGAATCACATCACCATCAGAGCACTTGTTTCACTGTTTCCACTATTAGTTAACATGCGCAGAAACTTAATACACAAAATCGCATCACATTTGTTTATCAAAATCCACTTCAAACCTAATTAAACAATAATACAAGAGCAGCAATCCTCCACCGTTCAAGTTCCCGCCAAAAATTCCCGTAGATAGAGGATTGAGTATTTAACAAAAAAAATCAAGTATGTGTATCTGTGCATAAATACAATACCTATAACAATTAAAACAATATCAATTGATTTAATTAAATAGCAAGTATATGTAAATGTAATGATAATATTATTCATACCAAACATTTAAAAAAATTGTGTACATATTAAGCTTTAGATATTTTTAATTAATACATTTACAGCCTAACAAATGTCCTCCACCGCTGAACATAGACCTCCCACACAGTTTGTCTGCAAATAACTACAGTTGCCAATTCTCCTGCCAAGCTAGGCAACTATCACAAAAATTGTAACTTTGGATACTGACTAATGGTAACGGTAAGTATATTATCATTAAATTTTTTCTACATCATTAATTGAGAATATTATCTTATGTTGTTGTGTTATTGTGTACCTTAAGATTAAGATTTATTTATTTATTTATTATTTTATTTATATTTATATTTATTTTTATATTAGCATGACATTTTTTTTAAATAAATATTGTAATGTAATTGTTGCTAATGTATAATAGAATTAATGGAATGCAATAAAGTTTTGTGCATCTGATTTCAGGCAATACATATTTTGTGAAATTAAATATACTTTGCTCAATATTTATGTACTTGAATCCAAACATGTTTTCAGGTTGATACTTACATATTATTTGTGAAGTCTATGTTATATGGAAAATGATTGAAGAGATGTAGGGTAATAAGGAGTTTCCTGTAAAGCTGAACATAAAAGTGTATGTATATGTATAACATTATGTGATTCATATTTATGGACATAACTACTTATCACAATAACAATTATTATTGAACAATGCGAAAACATTATTGTACTCGCTGATATGCCTAAAGTTTTTATAATCCTACCAAATCAAAAAGTACACGTTTGTTATGACTTTAAGCTTTCGAATGACCGTTCAAATTAAAGAGCATTATCATGAAGAATTTACAATTTGGGAGTCCAAATATTTGACAAAATACATCACAAAGTTCATTAAAAGCATGAAATGTTACACTTTATATTCAAAACAATAGATATTAATCAGTACAAGTAGCAAATGTAAGCACAAAACAAACTTACCGATGAAAGGTAATATTATCAATTTTTCGTTGACTGATGCTGTTGCATCCTAAAATGCTACAACTTACCACGTTTTTCACCTTACCTAATAACTAAGATCCACAAAAAGCACTAAATTCAATTACCTGTTTGCTTATAATATCAATATTATTCAAAAGAGCTTGACATCGTTAATGTCAAATAAAGGAGGGAAAACAATCAAAAACGCATACCTAGAACAAGACAAGAAATATAGATTTGCTTCTCCCTTACTCTTATGTCAAACTATATACGTGCATTCCTTTCACACGCTGATGACGTCACTGAATGTTTAGTCTACAAGATACTATGTCTATGAAAATTCCTCAGTTCCACAGACTACTAAGAGAATATTACGCATCAAAAAAGGTCGCTCTAAAAAAAGTTTGTAACTTAACATCGAGATAAATGTAGACATGGCGTAAAAGACAAGCATCTACGCCAAAATCTTAATAAAAATAATACATATTTATTTACGCTTCACCACTTTATTTGTCTATGATGACACTTTGATTGACATCAAAGAGTATAATAAGATTGACATTAGACATGGGCAATGTGTATCACTTAAAAGAAAAGATTGTATGTATCTTTTGATCACTTTGGTATGTATCACTCTTTTATATCTTTATATCCTTATGTATCAGTAGATCAAGCTCGCTTTCACGACACGCATCGCATTACGTTGCGTTGCTCACTCAGCGTGGCTCGCTTCGCTCAACTCAATCCTATCAGTAAGAGTGATAGATAAGTACCTATAGAGCTGTTTGCATTTTGCTTGGTTGTAACATTGTGTATCTTTCTGATATACTGGGCTGTTGTTTATTTCCAGGTATCTATTTATTATGATAAAAAATTAAAGTTTTCCTATTTCTCAGACATGCAGGTTTCCTCACGATGTTTTCCTTCATCGCCGAACACGTGGTAAATCAGCACTAAAAATTGCAATTAACAATTTCTTTGGTGCCGGTGGGGATCGAACCCGGGTTACTTGCGTACTGTGAACTTTACAGCGAGCGCTGTTATTGTTATGATTGATAAATATTAATAGGCACTTATTCGAGAAATCAATTTAAATTTTTAGTTTAAAATAATAATTAAATTAATGATTAACGTAAATAACGTAGGTATTCTTTGTATTAATTTGTAGGTAGGTATTGTTTGTATTAATTTGTAGAAAATATATATTATATAGTTTCGGCTTCTTGAAAACATGCCTGCTGCGTTGGCTGTCTTTTAGCTACGAGGGGTACTGTGGGGAAGGTTACCACAATTTCCAGAGGGTACATTTAGCATGTTCGCACAATAAAGGCATTTTGCATTTTTTTTGGTTCTACTTCCTCATAATGATTCCACACTGCGCTTCGTTTTCGTGAACCCATTTTTTTTTATTAATAAAACTAACTATGCAAAATTATTTACACTTTAAATAAATGAAACATTCACTAACTGTACGTACAGAACAAAAAACTCTTTAAACTATTTACACTGAATGTCTTATTTACCTACATTTAAATTAAACAGTCACTAAGTGTACAAAACAACTTCAAATATTTTTCTATTCGATGCAATTAACGCAAACAATATTACTCTCGTTCCCAAACCGAGATTAAGTTTGAAGTAATGAAGCAAACTGATATATTTGTTTAATTTTGTAAATCACAAATCTTTTTTCTACTTTTTTATGGATATAAACGACTATTAATTTCGATTATAAAACTTTCTTAAAAACTATGGTTTTATAACTGAAATTAGTTTGCATTGTTTACTAAAAAAATTATAGGCAAAGTACACATAGATACAGTTCAAACCAGTATAATACTTAAATGTTAACGTACCGCTTAATGAATTTAAGCCCTATACACCAGTCATAGAGTTATCAATTTACCTTTTTGTGCTAACGTATTAAGTTTATAATGGTCAAACAACTCACTCTCTCCGTCTTGCCAAAGCGCGACAGAACATTCTAAATAGTGACCTGCGAAAGAAACGTCTGTACTATGCACTTTCCGAAATCTTCCTGGAACGACCGGCCGTGCCGGCCGAGGTATAATAGAAAGCAGTGTGCGCAATGTGCGACACAGATGTTAGAAAAAGTTAAAAGATGTCTTGAGTGAATAAGTTGTAAAGATATACTGATACAGTGATACATTCGGATGCGGATGGATATAAAGAGTGATTGTTGGAAACGGATTGATTCATATCTTTTGTATCTATCTCTCCTGAGTTACCCATCTCTAATTGACATTTCATTTCATCGTAAACGAACTGAATTCCTACTTTTTATTTAGCAAAAAGGCAAAAAGTTTGATCAGGTTTAGTTTTTTAAAATATTGTTTTTTTATTGGATTAATAAATACTAAAGATGCCTAAAAATAAGAAGAAACCAGAAAGTTCCAGCAGTGACAGTGATGACGGTCCCGTTGATGTGAGTCAAAGTTTATTTTATATTTATGACGGCGTGACAGTTTTGTAATCTAAATTATTCTAAACCTATAGTTTCCAAAAGGGAAAATGCAAGAAATTATTACTACAAAATTAAAGCATGGCAAATCAAAGTACCGCTACAATTATATGAAAATACAGGTTTTCAACATGATGTTTGATAATTGCCGGTAACCTATTTCCTTGGTGCTTTCTAATTATGTTTACAATAATTAGATTGCTTGAAGCACCTAAACGTCGCGTGTAAAGTTATTAGCCCTGTGTTGCTTTAGTCCGTTGGAGAATATAGCAAAATATTGGATATAATATACACTAATCTAAAGGGTTTCGGTAAGAAATTACAAAATCTTTCATCTATTTTGAGGGTTTTCGGGGGTTGGGGTTGTTATGAAACTTCCTGTGAAGGGGAGGATGTGGTAAATATAACCTTGTTATCCCTACAGGGGGAACCCTGTAGGGATAACAAGGTTATATTTATGTATTTTTAATAATTTATTTATTTATGAACAAATAACATCTTATGACAAAACCAAAACATTGACCTCACTGCCTCACTATATTTTTACATATTTGAATAAAGAAGAAATACATTTCGAGTTAGAATAATATTGTCATAGAAAATCATGTTCTACCCTCAGTATTACTATGCACTGTATAATGACAGATCTTCCTCAAGGGCATTTTATAGTTTAAGTAAAATCATATGATGCTTCATTTTATACTAATTCCAATACAATTTTATAATACTAGATAAATTAATAGAAAGAGTTATTTTTCAATAACTGGCCTAATTTGCAGAGAAGGTAGTAATATAGGCAAATGAAGAAAAATTGATTAAAAATATCTCAAAAATTCTTTCTTTTTTGTCTTTTAAATTCAAAATGCTTGATAGTGCATTATTTTAACTGATTTTACTGTGCATGCGTACATTCAATTGGTAGACAAAAATGCTGTTGCCAATAAATAACATTCAATTTGGGATAATTTCAAATAAAAGTAGAAGTCTTATTTACTCATATTTTCAAAAAACTGTATTAATGGTATATTATTATTTATATATTTGAATTTAAGTTTAAAATTTGGCTTCTCTTTGAAAAATAACCCTGTATAAAAAAATATCTAAAATAAACAGCTTATATTCACTTACAACTATATGTATGTATTTATGCATATATATAGTGTAATATATATTCATATATATTTTATGTCCTTAATCACAAGACTTAAACACAGACAAAAGTTTATATCAAAACTCTGCAAGTTTGTTTTAAGTCTAAAAACATTTAAAAAACCAATATTTTGAGAACTACCCATTTACGCAATATCATGTTTTAGGACTGAAGTAATAAATATAAGATCTATCCCTTGTAAAAGTTTGAATGTTTAAATCTACTTTTATACAGTTGGTGTTGTAGTCTCGTAGTAGAAGTAGACTTCAAGCAATGGCAAAGAATAACCATCTCAAAAATGCCCACACTAAAACATCCAGACTGATGACTTGGAGTCACATATGTCTTGTCAGATAAATAAATATTATTTTCTGTATTAATTTCATTCTTTTACAGAGAAATCCGCCAGCAGAGAAAAAAGCTAAAATGGGCTCCAGGACAGAAGATAAAGAGCCAACTTGGGTCCTGCAAGGTAAAAAGTTGGTAAAAGTAAGAGAGTTCAAGGGCAAGGTCTATGTAGATATAAGAGAATTTTATGAAAAAAATGGAGAATTATTACCAGGAAAGAAAGGCATCAGTTTAACACCTGAACAGTGGAGGAAGCTCTTGTCTTTAGGAGATGAAATTAACGAAGCTGTCAGTTCCTCATGTTAAGTTATTTTGTTTCTAATAAAGCTTATAATTGTAAATTTGATTGTATTATTTATAATAACTATATACATATTATCTCTCACTCATCAAAAACTAGCTTTCTCACCAGCAACACAAAGGCAGGAATTAGCATTTAGAAAAACCGAAAATTAGGTGTTAATTAGGTGCAAAGTTAAAAAATTAGGTGCTCTAAAATTTTCACTACAATGAACTGTTGTAATTTGCTTTGCTGGCAAAACGTATCACTAGCAACGTAATGAAGTTATTTGATATATGATAAATATTAATAGCAAGGAATTAAGTGCTGAAAGATTATTGATTAAATATTCTGGGAATTATTGGGTCCAGGACCACCGTTACCTCACTATAAGGTATGAATGGCATTTTTTGTTCTTTATCAGGTATATTATAGATAATAATATATAACTGAAAATAGGTCGAAACTGTACTAAAACGGAATCAGAACGAACAGACTCCCCGTAGTTGAGTCTGCCCTACCCCTAGTGTTTTTGTAAAGCTGTAGGCGCGGAAGAGAGCGGCCCCGCCAGTAGAGGCTAAGGCTGATAAGCTGAAGCTTCGGAGGTAGCAAATCACAGGCACCCATGCCTGTGATTTGCTACGCAAGGGTGAAGAGGCTGCACTCCCCGCAGCGCCGAAGCCTTTGCAGAAGTAACTATGTCAATATTCCTGTGTAAAAAAGTGAGGTTAAGATTTTAAAGTTAGTAAAAGTCAGTAAAAAGATTCTCCGGTTCTCTACACTCACCATACGAAACACAGCAGCGTTAAGCTACTATTTTACGCTGGTTTTCTGTGAGAGCGTCCGTCCTTCCCCGGTCGAACCGACCCATTCGTGCCCAACCATAATATAGCTGCAGCATGGCTCTACCACGTAGAAAAATTTTCAGAAGACCTGAATTTTGCGTCAGCTTTGTACTGAATAATGACTTTATTTTCATTAGGGGCGCCTCGTCATTGCCTATAGAGGTGGTGCATCGCCCAATCGTATACTGATACCAAATCTATACCTATATTGGTACAATATCTAAAAACCGCTTACTGCTTCGTTCGAAAACTATGTAAGGTAGGTATGGCAAAACGCCCGTGGTTTAATGTCTCCTCTACACTACTCGCGAAGTAACTTCGACGAAGTGCTCGTAAAGTCGATCGCAGTCCGAAGAACGTGACCACACACTCGTGCTACTTCGCGAAGAGCTCAGTCGTCTTGAGTCTTCCGTACCCTTAATATGAATGACGTTCACGAGGCAGCTGCTATAGGTACCTAATTGTGTGAACAGTACGACGTCAATGCGTTAACTAAATAAATAATTATGTAGAAAGCTACTATATTCAAGATTTATATATAAAAAAAAAAAATATTCATAACTGGCGTAAGCCGAATAGTGTAGTGAGATACTTTGGGGTACTTCGCGAAGTCCTTTGACTCTGGCGCAAAAAACCGACAGCGATCGGAAGTCGCCCGAGGCGAAGTGAGGTTGCACGAAGTGAATCGAAGTACCTCTCTACACTATTCGCCTCGTCCAACTACAATCTACTTCGCGAGTAGTGTAGAGGAGGCATCAGGCACTAGTAGAACATACCCACGCGCTTTGCGCTCGGCATGCAATATCAAAAACGTGAAGAGGCTAAAAAATTGCTTTGTAAAAATTTTATTTGCATAATATATTTAATTTGTAAAATTTGAAACCGTATTTAAAAATTATATAAAATATTAGAGATGCGCCGAATATTCGTTTGGTATTCGGTATTCGGCGTATTCGGCACCTTATTCACTATTTGTATCCGGCCGAATTATTCGGTTTTGGTGCCGAATATATTCGGTTCAAATATTTAAATTTTCTTACCTATTTATTGTACACAGACTACAAAGTATAGAACAAGAATACAACTTCTGTAGTAAGATTTACTTATTTATGAACTTCCTTTGATCGAGGTTCATCTACTGTTTCGATTTCCCTCTGTCGCTTCTTACGAAACCTACGGGATGATATGTGATATGTCATATACCTCTACTACACAGGTTAAAGGTGATGACTGCTAACTTGGAAAGTCGTTCTTAATACTAAACATTAGTCTGTTATGTCCCAATTGGTAATAAATGCCTCTCTATAGATTGTAGTGATTTTACATTCGACGTTTTTGGCAAAGTTTCTGAGCTATGCTAAGTGTCAGAAGCACTTACAGCAGTACACGTGGTTGCTGGCAGTTGTTATTTTTGCTTCTGCTTCAAATGATTTGTCATACCAATCGTCGAAGCGCTGCGGCCTGATCCACCGCGAGAAATAACACAACTACATAAAGTGCACTTCACTTTTGTTTTATCATCTTCTATTTCGCTAACCTGTTTACACGGCAAAACAACGAAATCGTAAACCGAATAATTCGGCCGAATATCCGGTTCGGTACAGGTTAAACCGAATATTATTCGGTATTCGGTTATTCGGCAAAATTACTATTCGGCGCATCTCTATAAAATATTAAAAAAAAAACGTTTCTAGTGGGGGGATCGCCCGTTAATTTTTAATTTATATTTACTTTTATTATTTGTTGTTATGGCGGCATCAAAAATAAGTACACATTCTGTGAAAATTACAAACTACCTATTACGTAATACGGATCATGAGATATAGCTCGCTGACAGACAGACGGACGGACAGCGGAGGCTTAGTAATAGGGTCCTGTTAGTTACCCTTCGGGTACGGAACCCCAAAAATATCATGTGTTAGAAAATGTATAGACATTAAAATAATGATTATTTATAGCAGATGATTGAATACTACTTTTAGGACGTTTGCAATAGTAAAACCTCTGAATCTGATAGGGAATGTCTAACGGGGGTGGAGAATGTGTCATAAAAAAGCTGTTTGATTTTGAATTCAAAACACGTCGATTGACACATTCTGAAAGCGTGGTCTTTTTCGTGATCGTTTTTATAGGATTATAGTGACAAACCAGCTCACAGTACACATGATAATAAGTGGCTATTGCAGCCCATGGAGGTCTCCAACTAACTTCAAATAATAAGGCTTTACCGTTAATGTGGTGGAGCGCATTTTGCGAACTTAGATGTAATTGTATAGCCCACAGAATAATAAAGTACCTTTCTACATTATTCGCCTTGTCCAACTCCGGTCTACTTCGCGAGTAGTGTAGGGGAGGCATAATAACGCCCAGTCTTATGAAAACGTTATTAATTTATTATGATTCGTGTTACACCTCACACACATAAAATACACCCATAAGAATGCACGAGTACGTCGGTTGTGAACACCGCTGTTATAAAAATTGCTCCAGCAAATTGTAAGTATTTATTTGTTTTATTGCATTTTTCGTAAAATTTCTTGTAATATTTACTAGTTTACTAATTTTCCTAGACTATGCTATGATATTTTGAGTTTATTTCTATAATATTGTATTAAAATACGTGGATTGAATAACAACTCCCTTCCTTATATAAAATTTTCTTAATCATGTCTAAAGAAATTTAGCTGTACGAAACCAAACTAAATCGAATATAAAACTTAGTTTAGTACTAAAATCTATAACTAAACAATGTTTACAGAACAACAAGAATATGACCCAGTAAAACGAATAAAAAGATTCGTTCAAATTGGTGTACCCCTCAAAGATCTCAATCCTCAAAGAAACAAGCATATATGTTTTGTGAAACATACAAAATAAAAAATAATTTCAATAACTCCAAGGAATTGCTGAATATTTTTGCGGTACTGATTAGTTGAGAATTTGATTGAGATTAGTTTAAAGCGGTGTCAATTAGCAAACGAAATCTGCAAATAATGAATCCAGCTCGTGCACAAAAACTGAACAAACCAATTGTTCAGCAATATTTTCAGTGTCCAAAACTTGTACAATGAGATGGATATCCTACAACACATCCAGAAAAATTGTACAATATGGATGAAAAAGGATGCCGGATAACTGTACACAAACAGAACACAGTTTTAGCAGAAAAAAGAAGCAAAAGAGTTCATCTCATTGCCCCTGAACACGCGGGGTAAATGTTACGATGCTATCGTGTGCGTGATTGCCATTGGTACTGCGATACCACCAATGATCCTCTTTAAAGGAAATAAGGCCTGATCAATGTGATAACTTACCAGCAGGGACGTTAGTAAGGATGGCAATGAAGGGCAGTATGACTGTTGATTTGTTTGTGGAGTTTATTAAGTACCTAGCGAAATACAAGTTTGCTGGAAAATGCTTACTTATATTTGATGGTGCCAAATGTCACTTGTCAATAGAAGTTCTAGACGAAGCTGATAAAAATGACAGTTTTGTATTGCCTACCTTCAAACACAACGCACGAGCTTTAGCCCCTAGACAAATCAGTCAATAAGTTGTATGAACACCCGTGTGAAGAAGAAGTTCTGAACTTCTTATACACAAACCATGACAGAACAATGTCAAAAAAAGCCACATTTAATAGGATATTTAGCTATGTCTGGCCCAAATGCATGACGCATAGCAACATTGTAAATGGATTTGCGGCAATAGGACTATTCCCGTTTAATCCAGAAGCTATACCGGAGGAAGCATATGCCCCATCAGTTTTGTCTAAAATTGCATGCCCACAAACTAGCGTGTAGCCCGTACAAAGTCCTATATCTGACGTCACATTAAACGATGACACTGATGACGATCTACCAATTTGTGATTGGCTCCTGCAGAACTCTACATCTGATGTATTGGAGTTAGACGAATACCCTGGTCTTAACCAACCAACTGATTTGAGACCAATCATCCCTTCAACAACTGAAAAATTTTTAAGAGTTAAACGCCGTCTCGTTGACTACAACTCATCACCCGATGTTTCTGACTTAGAAATGGTAGAAAATCCACATGGACCAGCAACACAGGTGGAAGAACACTGTGCTTCACCTTCTTTAATTCCAGAAAATGACGTTTTATTGGTAAGTCCGAATGACGAACCACTTCTAGACAATGAGGATACTTATAAAATAGAT